TAATTTTTCTTTTTTTTAATTTTAAAATGATTATAATTTAAATATTAAGGAGTAAACCAAGTATAGTCTTAGAAAACAAAAATTAAATACTTATTAATATTTGTAAGTAAATATTTCGAAGAATTTTTTAGAAAATGCAACAACAACAAAAAAAAAATAATATAAATAAATACTGCCGAACTGTACTGTACTCTTTCGAATAAATTATATATAAATATATTTTCTTTCTTTACACAGCAAAATATTAAACATCATATAATAATGTGATATTATGTTAAATATAATTATTATTAATTTTTTTATATATAATTTTATTTTTTTTTTTTTTTTTTCAAAGTACATAAAAATGGTACGAAAAATAAAAATATTTTTGTAAAAATGCCAACAAACTTTATTGCTTTAAGAGAAAAGCAGTTGCGGATTAAACTTTGGAAAGGGGAAAAGAGGAAGAAAAGGCATTCATTCATTCAGGAAGATCTTTTGAAAAAGAAATTGCATTAACAAGAAAAACATAAGAAATTTGTCCTTATCAAAGGGGACCAATTTTTATAGTCACTTCCTTAGGATGGGGCTATACTCACTTTGTCATAATGTTTGCAACATCCAAAAGGAGGCTTCAGAAACCCTATAAATTGTACATGTTCTTGATCGGCTCTTGAAATTCTGCACGTCTGTCCGTCTCTGTGATGTGTGTTGTTGACACCCTCCTGGTTGCAAAACCAAAGATGTCGACCTTAAAGATAGTAGAAACTATGGAAGTTTCTGCACGCCGAATGGCATTGAAAATGAGCCAAATTGTTTAGAGCAAACGCCCGCAGCTAATCGTAACGTGAACCCAACTCCCTTTCTCGTTACTCACAAATTATAAAAAAGAGAAAGGTGCAATTTTCTACATTTCCTTTACGGAGAACTCCACCACTTACGGAAGCATCCATGCCCATACGAAGTTATAAGTGATTACATTTTCTTTTAATCATGTTTTTGAGGTTTTGTGCTTTTTAATCATAAGATGAACTAACCAACGCTAAAATACATATGGCCACATGATGGATTCCTTTTTTCTTAATAACACCATCGATATGGGTATCAAATAAAAACGCTTGGAGATAATCTTTATTCCATTCACTTTTTTATGACCATGAATAAAATCATGAGTCTTTAAAAATTTTAATAGCGGTGTATATGAGGGATTCGGGCCCAGCCGAACATAACTACCTTACCTGTTTTTTTACATAATTTTTCTTTTAATTTCTTCGTACAATTGTGGCAAACATGTCTAGATGCCTGCTTGTCTTTGCCATCATAGAGCTTCGTTGAGGGCAAGAAGATTTATTAGAGTAATATTTAAAAGGCGCTTGGCGTACTCAAGTCTTTCATCTTGCGTTCAACCTTTAACAACTTTTGATTTCGAGAATCTAATAAGAAATTGTCTTTCGCCTCTACGTTATAATTCCCTAATTTTCACTTTTATAATTATTTTATCGATCGAACTATGTGTCGTTCGGCTTCATTTTATAGATTTCTGTTTACTTTGCAGAAGAAGAATTTCATTCACTTCACGTAACTCTGATTACAAAAATTCAGCAAATTATTCGATTTCACTTATGCACAACATATTTACTGAAACGATCGGGGCAAGGATAAAGTGTTCGTAAGTTATTGTTAGTGCATTAATTGCGGGTTGACTCAAACAAATTATCCGCATGAGTAGCCGAGTAAGCGCAAGAATCCACATTCCCAAGTGAGTCAGTCAGTCAGTCATATCTCAGTAGAGTTTAATTCGGTCGTAACTATAACGAGTACTCAGTCAGTATTTGGCACACACGAACTGAGTTGCGGTCACCATTCCCTTATGTCTTTCTTTCTCTTTCTTTATTTGTTTCTGACTATCATCGCCTTACGCAAGAAAGGATCACAAGAAAAAAAGGAAAATATTTGCTGATTTTTTCAACTATTTGAAAGTACTTTAATCTCAGTCTCATTCAAGGTATGATATTCTCCAGCAAAATCAGATCGATAGTTAACTGTCCACTTGTATCTAAAACATGAAGTTTGTTTCTTTCTCTTTTAATATGTCTATATTTTCAATATTTATTTTAGAAATTGTTTCTAGAATTTTTTTCATTTCATATATTAAATAAATTAATAAACAATATTTTTTGGTTTCCAAATAAATAAGTTTTTCTTTCTTTTTTTTTCTCTCTTTTGTAGTCTTTGAAAAAGCGTCAAAGTCTCCACGCAACAAATATGCAAAACTACCTTTGCATGATATGCAAAAATGATACAAGTTGCAAGATAGTGGCGAGCAAGCCATACTTAACATTGTTTATGCTATATATAAATATGTATACGTTTATAGTTAACTAATTTAATTAATTAATATATATATAAATCTTACTGTACTGTACTGATATAAATATAATCTTACTGTAATATTTAATTCATCTGTTTAAATAATTTTAAATAAAATACAAATACAAAATTTATGTCCACACATAAAAAATTATGTCTGCCTTTAAATACAATTTTTTTTTTATGCGATTGCAAACTTATTTCAACTACAAGTCGAGAATTGTTGCTCGGTCAAACGAAAGATCTCCACTCGTGCATTACTCCGGTCCGGGCAGAGATTATCCCAAAGCCATGCCCACTATCAAAAACAATCGGTTATTTTATGTCATCTTTTCCATGTTAAGGGATGGGTGTATAGCGAAAAATAGTTTACGATAAAAATCTACATCTTTTGCTCTACGATTTACAAAAACAAATTCGAACTAAGTCTAAACAGCTCTTTGGACGTATGCACATTTGAAGAAGCAATAAAAACAGAATGCATTCACTATTCGTGGGCGGCAGCGCATCGTTCATTTTTTACCTGAAATAAAAGAAAATAAGAACGTAGGTAAGTAAATCCGTCAATAAAAATATATTATATTTGACTTACCTTTACTTTAGTAGTTTCGTCGCCCGATTTTCATTACTTTCCTGAGAATGCCGTAACGTTTTTGTTTTCCGGCTCCCTCCAATATTTTCCTCTCAACAAAACCAAATGAGTTCTGTGATTTGCCTCATTGTGGCAGGATCCTCTATTTGCAAAAAAGTCAAGTCGTGCCACCATTGCGGCTTATAGGCGCTTGCCTATGTCAGGCGCCGTCATATTCGTATGCATTGCTGCGTCGAAGAAGTCGTACACTTTGTCAAATTCCTCGTTGACAAAGGGTTTTGGCAGCGCTGGGCACAAGTATTGCGACCTGTATAGTAAATGCTTATTCTTGTCCTTCGCCACTTGCATTCCGTTTAGTACCTGGCAAAATTCGTCTGTTTTCTGTCAAATCTCTGAGGCAATCATGGCAACTGATCTGGTCACGTACGTATCGCCCGACACCGTACCCCGTGAGCAGACACAGGTAACTATCCAGCTGACCTGTTGTCAGGTTAGTAAATACTTCTCCATCGAGCGCGAATGGTCGAAACTCTTCTTCGGGCTCTCCTTCTTTGTTGTAGTTGAATTTATTGATCAGTTTGTAGTCGTGTTGAAGTACAAATCTATTCACGTGTGCCGATATTTGTTGACGCATTAACCTGTTCTACAATTTCAAAATATGCTCTAATGGTCTCGTTAGTTTTCTTTGATTCACCGCCATCTTAATGAAAAAACGTTCCAGGAGATCCTGGCTTACCCTATATGATGCTACCTTCATGCCACGGTAAGCCTCCATCAGGTCGTCCATTATGATGACGAAATTGTTTATGGTCGTTAAGGCGTCGGTGATTAGTTGTTCCATAAGTCTTCAGATATTCTTTTGCGGCTTGCAGTTTTCTTTGTAGGTGTTCCCAAGTAGCCCCTTAGTATCCCGGCCGTTATTGTACTCCGATGGAATTTTAATGTGCGCTCGGCACTATCCCGTTCCTGACCTACGGTGAAGATGTTCGCATCGATTGCCGCCTGGAGCGACGTTGGTATTATGTCACTGCAAAATAGTACCAGGTAATCGGCATTCCGTAGAGACTTTGTACGACATTCCTTCGCCGTCAGAAATCTGATTTCGGCCTGTCTCTGCTTGAAAGTTGTGTTTGTAAGCTGAAATTTACCATTTCGTCATCTTGTACTTTCCTTTTGAACGATTTGAGCAGGTGAATATAGTCGTGTAGGAGCAAAATTGTTTTGATGCTGCCGTCTGCTTGTTTTCTCTTGTGTACGTCGTTGGAAAAGTACTTCGCCCTGTCTTCGTTGGAAGACGATCTTCCGCAGACGACAGTTTTGACATCTAGTTCGATTTCCTCTGCCAGCTTGATGACCTCTTCCACTTCGCTGGCATCAGCTTTATGGTTAGTGAGTGGTGTTGCACTTAGCACGATGTTGAACGGTGTCAACAGACTTCGGGCGGCGAATATAAGTGCTGATACGTACTCCACCATTTCCCCTTTGGGCGATAGTCCGCAGCCGAGAACCCTATATTCAGCTCGGCTGTAGATTACCCCTTTCCTCGTGAAAACTTCATCGAAGTTAATCTGGACTATTTTATCGTGAGCACTTAACTTGCTTACGACTTGTTGAATGCCTCCGTATCAGTCACTCCGCTTTCAGCTGAGTCAACTTTCTGGTCTTTATTTCTCTTAAATGTGGCAAGTTCTGCTTGGAGCTGCTCCACGAATAAGTACCGTCTCCCTCGATGTGGTCGGTCCGCTTTTCATAATGAACATAGCTTTGAATTTCTCTTGGAAAGTAAACGTAAATATCAGCCAACCCATGTTACCAGCATTGCGTCCATGCCACAAATAAACTACACATTCAATTACAACTTCAGGTGGTGGCTTATTATCACTTACTTCAACGGCGGCATCTTCGGCATCATTCAAAGGAATGCAGTAGCGACATAAAAACATAAATTTCTTGCCTTCCAAAACGAAAGCTTCTATAGCCTGTAAATCGTAATTGCAATCTTCCTCTAATTGCTCTGCTTCAATTAGAGGCAAAACAGCCAAATCTGCCCGTATTTCTTGCTGTTTAGCCCATTTATTTAAATCAGCTCCAGTCTTTGCTACGGAAATAGAAGTGCGTGTAAAATCTACGGCCATCACTTCGTCCCAACCGATAAATTTGCATTTGATGATCTGAGTTTCAGTGCCCTCTTGTAAACGGGTAACCATAGCGTACAGAGATCGCTCAATCATGGTAAACAGCTCACGTGAAAGTTTAATGGCTGCAGCACGAATAAACTGTTCAAATGCCTACATGCGAGTACATACATTGGTACAACTTCACCATATGCAAGGTCATTATTTATAATGGATACTTATCGAGTTGAAAAAATACCGAAAACCTGTTACCTTTACTATCAAGAATCTTTATTTATTCATTAAAAATCAGTACACAATCAGTTATTTTATTACGGCTACCGTCAGCAAATATATGTTTTTTCTTTAATGTTCAGATTTTCATAAGAAACTTAATTAGCGCCTGAAAACTCAAATATTGGACTATTAGCGACTATTTAAAGTAAAATATCTTTTTTAAATATTGCGGTTTAAGGAATTTGCATTATAATTTTAAATTTTTCATTTTATTTTTATCGAAAAAGAAAATGAACAATCTATTACAAATTATATTCCAATTTACTTCGAAAATAAAAGTTATAATATAAGTGTAGCAATTAATTAATTTACGCAAAAGAAAAAAATTAATTGCAGATTAAATAAAATAGAAAAGAAAAAAGCAAGACAAAGCTGTTGCTGTAATCTTTCCATATCATCGATTTCTACGCACTAAGATATTAATTCAAAACAAATATTAAAGTCGAAAGGATCGCTTCACGCGCATGTATATAAAAAAAGTTTTTTTTTTTTTTTTTTTTTTAATTTTAATAAAATAAAATAAATTTTAGTTAAACAACAGTTATCGCACAAGAAAACCTTTTTAGGGTAAAGTATACCTAACGTAGGGTACTTCGACGTCTTCGCCTTCTTCATCATTACAACAGATTTCAAATACCAATGAGCGTTCATGAGGTTCTATACGTTTTTTGGAGACACGTCTTACTACTTCGCTCATCGGTAGTGGTAGACGTTCCGCACACTTGGCCTTAGGCATAAAGAATGAGTAAAGCATGGAAATGCCTTGCGATAGCATGGTAATCTTAAGTTTCTCTTTCTTTTCGAAATAGTCGAGAAATTCTTGCAAAGTCATTTCACCGGGTACCTCAAACCGATCCCATAAGGTCCAGTTTTTATCGTAATACGTATTGCTTTCTGCGCGTTTTGGCTCCGAGAAGGTAACAAAAGGCAAAGCTAAGTTTGCAAAACCGTTCTTGAACTTTGACAGATCTTTATGGCTACAAGTAACGATAGAGTTTGAATATTTGCATACTACTTGTTTAAAAGACATTTAACTTACCCCATAATAAGTTTGATAACTTCAAGTACAACCCAACCGGAAACCAATGAAGTAGTGGTAGCAATGGCTGGTATAATTTTGCCAGCAATCAATTTTGATTTGTGACGGTCGGCTGGTGGTATCTTATAGTTGGCGGCTCGCAAATTTGATGCGGCTACAATGAAATCCATGTGCAGATTAGTGTCATCATCTTTTTCAAATTGCAAAGGTGTGATCGAAAAATTTAATTTTCCTAATGCTTGCAGTTCGTTGAGTATTTTATTGACACGATCTTGATCGACTTCAGAGCCATCATGATTGTTAGCTTCAGCAGCTGCTGCAGCTTCATTAGTTTCAATTTTAACACCCGAACGAGGCTGAAATTCTGGTACCTAAAACCGCAAATTAAATGGTTTAATTTCTTATGATTTATTTGAGAGAAACTACCTGGACAGATTGTAGTTTACAAGCAATGTATTCACGATCGCGCATTTGAGGAATGCCGTAGACTTGAGCCATTAAATTTGAAGCCGCGTAAACGAAGTCCAAATGTAAGGAATTTTTGACATCGAATAGCAAGGGTTCGGGGCAGCGTTTTGGGCCAGACCAGAAAGGCTGGCCACTTGAGGTAACCTGATCGGGAGGAAAATTGTATAACAATTGTTTAATTTGATTTGCATACTGTTCCTCCCAGTACAAGCGAGCCCACTCTATACAATCAGCAAAATCTTTTGGTTTATTATCAATCAAGGCTTTCTGTGAGACAAAAATGGAGTTACACAGTGACTTCGATTAATTTTAGGTAGTTTACTCACTTTGACCGATTCTAATATTTCCAAAGGTTGAATACCAGTAAGCTTAAGAGTGCGTTCTATGAAATTGGGATCGGTTATGTAGAGGGCAGCATTTTCGGCGGTTTGACTAAAAACACCTTCAAAGCAATCTCTCGCCCATTGCAATGTATGTTCAATGGCATTCGGGAAATTCTTTAAAGTACATATAGGAATACTCTTTTCGGGTGGGTCTTGAGAAGAACTATAGGATTCGGTTAAGAAGGGCACAATGACCTGCACATTGCCCATAGTGCCTAGAGTGCCGGACTCCACTAGAGGTATACGATTGAAAACACATTTGCGATCCATATAAATACGGGCATCTACGTTATCCAAAGCATTAGTAACGCCATCTAATTTCCCAAAAAATTCCTCCGAGAAGACCCTCTCTGTTTCGGAACCTACGCGCAATTCATATGCCGTGACTTTAGCTTCGGGATTCATCATACGAATCGCCGCTGCGGCTGTTTCAGCCTTTGGCTTTTGCACATCTTTTGGCCGAAACAGGAACTGACGATTTAGATTCGATTTTTCAATGAGATCCATATCGGTAATGAACAATTGGCCATTGCGGGTGCCTGCACCAATCATGGCAAAATTCTTAATCAGTTCACAACCAATGGCACCTGCTCCAACGACGAAGTATCTTTGAAGTAAAACATAAAACTTTAAATTATTTGCGACAACAAACATTCTAGGAACTTACTTCACGTCACTCAATTTCTCTTGGAATTTTTTACCAAAAATGGCTATCTGAGCATCGTAACGCGACCCAATTGGCTCAGCATCGCTTTCTTCAACCTCATGGTCCGGTAAACATTCAATAGCATCGTAATACAACCACTGATAGACTGGAGTAAATTTTCCACTACAGGCTTTAAGCACCTCCTGAGCAACAAACCCACCCATTGCAGCATCTATTGGGCATGTATTGCCCGCACAAATTTTGGCGAAAGTTAGCACCAAACTTTCCAATACGTTGTTATCCATATCCTTGCACATATTCAAAAACTTCTGGGCATCTTGCGAATTCCAAGGACGTGGCATTCTGCCGTTTTCTTTAATGTACTTATGCAGTGCTTTAAACGCCACATGTAATGTGCCCGGATGTTCGATTTTAACAAAATCGGAAATCAAGAATTCTGGCTCCTTCTCAGCCACTTCTAGCGATTTAAAACTAATTGTCTTGGACATTTTTACCTGAGTAGCTATACCGCCAGAAACATATTCACCAAATTTACTGGTATCTCCAATGCTGAAGGTATATGGTCCCAACACACTAATTTTCATTGGAGCACATCCATTCAATTCGTTCATGCCTTGCACCTCAGAGAAAGTTACGTAATCGCCATCACTAAGGCCATGACGAGTTTCATCTAAACAAGTAATAACGCCTTGCGAATCTCGTGTAATGCTGGCAATCATGGTGGAAATAGGTTGAGCACCATCTTGATCATAGATGGTGAAATTCTCTCCAAAGTCACAGAATACTTTGGCAAATAAGCCACGAGTCTCGGCAATAATCAAAGCAATATTATTATTATGAGCAAACGCTGCAATACGATGCTGTTCGGCGTCAGTGCTCGTGGCCAAAACAATAACACGGAAGTTCTTAAGAAAATCTTCAGTCAATTCTCCCGTATAGGAAGTGGTACGCACATAATTATTCAACTCAGCTAATTTGTCACGAGTGGCCTCCGCACGATTTTTACCAACGTCAGCATCGGACAAATAAAACTGAGAAGATAAGTCATAAATCTGGAAAGACAACACAAACAATTATTTGATATTTGCAAAATCACGCAAGCAAAAAAATGATGAAATTCTGATGTAGTCAAGATTATCGCATAATGCAATAACAACATTGAATACAATAATAGTGGTGGCGCAAAAATAACTTAAGGCAATCAGATACAAAGTGGTGGCGGGAGAGAGAGTAAGCGGCGTAAAATAACTAACTCAGCGTGAAAGAAAAATCAATGACTTGGAATTTTATTTACAATATGAATAAATACAACACCGACCCATAAATTTTTGTTTTCATTGAGGATATGGCATAAAAAGAAGAGCCAAACGTTAATTTTTGGCGGGCGAAACGATTGCGAATGCAGTGAATGGATGGTTCGCAAATTCTTGCAACAAAAAGCAATCGATAGACAGAGAATAAGAGGGAGTTAGAAGTACATAAACAAACAGGGTTCCCCTGCTACGTTACATTTTTCAATGTCCAGTTTACAGCTTCATGATGCGGTATGTATGCACAAAGTGCATCAGAAGACAGAAAATAATATCATTGTTTTCGTGCAGTAATAACATTTCAGTAAAATTCCCTACTTTATGTTATAGAAGAAGAGAAAAACGTCAGCTTTATTTTATACAAGAACAGTAAAAGCATCAACCAAGTGAACGTATTATTCAAAAAACTTTTTCCAAACTGTCTGTATTTCTCGTAAAATTTCGAATCACACACAACATTTGGAATTCCTCAAATTTCAGAAAATGTTAAAAAAGGAGACCTCTCGTAATAAGAACAGTTATAAAAGGTTGAAATCATTTGCCAGAACGCTGTTTTAAAGGTAAAACTAACGGCAACACTGCACAAAACGAAAGCAAAAAATAAATAAATTTCTTCTTTCCAAGCAACCACCACTAAATAGATCTTTAATTAATTAAAACTGCCAAAATATTATTAAAAATATTAAGCCTTATTAACCAAAATGCCTTTGGTGAAAAACTTTCCTGCAAGAACAACTTTTCTAAATTTATTCGTTGATGTCAATGCTTTTTTAACACAGATGACTCAGAAATATCTACTTTGTTGTAATTTTGGAAAAATATTAAAAAAAAGAGAGGAAAACTATATCGATTAAGTCGAATTGTAATTGCCTTCCTAAAGAAAACATCGCTTCCATTTTAAAAGGACTATGAACCACATTTTTATTGCAATAAATTCAGAATACCATAGGCAACGGCTTGATACATATATCAATTCTCCATTATAGAAAAATTAATTCAAGATATCTGCTGTATCTGAGAAGTACTATTTTCTTCTAAACTTATTCTCAATTATTTTTATCTCTTTTTACATTTTGAGAACCGAACGAAAGTAAATTTTTGCTAATAAATTTTTAAATGGCAGTGCTGCGTTATATGTGTGTACAATTTTGTATGAATTTCATGGAAAAAACACCAATTTTCTTTAGAGAAAAAATAAACCGAAAAAATACTTTGCACACATAAATATACCTACGTGCACACGCACACGAAGATATTTGTGAAGGAAATGAAGATACTTTATAACAATGGTTAGCTTTTCTATCTGAAAACATATATAATTATCGGCGATATGAACTCAATTTTACACAGAAAACAAATTTTTCACACTCACAGAGACGACGATTGAACACAAGCATTAAGCAAACAATCAATTATTACAAGAAGAGAGGGGGGAAATTCTAACCACAAAAACACAAATTTTTACTTGAAATGAAAAATCGATTTTTTTTCTAATGAGCAAAACACGAAAACAAAGCCAAGGGGATTACTTTTCTTCTTTCTTTTTACCATTTTTTATGGGAAGAATATATTACTCACCGTACAATTTTGAGTATCATGAAGAGTTATGGATTTGACACCACCCAAAATAACATTTTTTGCTATTTCCAAGCCCAGGCCATTTAAACCGGACAATAAAATATCTGAGTTGGCCATGCGACGCATAGCATCATGACCAAGCACATATAATTGCCGTGAGTACAGAGACTCATCAATATCGCCAGTGGCTCCATCACTCTGGGAATTCGTATCCATTGGTGTTGCCGAGTTGTTGGCGCTGCTGTTATTGCTAGTGCTTGTTTTCGTTGTAGGGTTAGGATTTATTATTGAGCTGTTGCTATTGGCGCTTATTTTGCAGTTGGAACCCACAACACTAGTTTTTTCTTGTTCTTTAGTGCACGAGGAGCTTTGCTTGTCGCTGTTATTAATATTCCTGCTTTCTTTATTCACTGCTGACGATGTACTAATGCCGCCGCCGCTGTTCTCGCTCGTTGTACTTTTCGAAACGAGTGAGCCGGCTGCGTTTTTGCAACTTGACGAAGCTAACGAGCAGGATGACAATACTAACGATGCTGCTGATTTACCAGCAGTTGTCTCACTCTTAACGCTTTTGTCAATTTCGTCGCCTGCTGCGCCGCTACCGTTATTGTTGTTTTTGTGGGAACTCGTGGAGGTTGGTGACGAGTTAGGTGCGAGCTTCCGTTTCTTAGCTACTGGTGGCTCAGCGGTAGTGGAAGCTGCCTGCTCGGCTAACTGGGAGCTAGAAGACATCGGTGGTCAAGCAGTAAGACTCTGTGGGCATCAAACTCTCAGTCTCGTACAACGAAACAACCGGTCTGCCTTATGTCTCTCTCCTCCACTATTACTATTTCGCAATTAATAGTACTCAACTCACAGTCTCTTATAGTTTTTGTCTTTGCAAACCACAATTAATTTCTTTCGTTTGAAATTATTCTACCGACACAACACAAATTCTAAAAAATCAGGAAAAAATTAAGTCCACATAAAAAGCCACGAATTCCTTATAAGATTATTCAAATTGAATTTTTTTCTATTTTTATTCTATTAAATCATCCACGATTCTTTACACTAAATGCGACTTTTTCTTTTGTGTTCATTTGACAGCTGCGTCTCTTCTAACGGCACAAACACACATACCGCAAACGGTAAAACTTTTTGCTGACTGTGTCTGGTTTAGAGATTCTTTATGCACATTATATTAAATTATAGTATTACTTATAAGCATATAATCATCTATTAGCAGTTCATTAATTCATTGCCACTATTTACCTGCTATCCTAAATCATTGAACATAAACTTATTCGTTATATTGCGAATTTATATACAAGAAAAGCACATTTAGATAAGTTATACCGTTTGACAAATGCGAATCACTGCAAAATTCAAAAAGAGTGTTGTTCTTGCCTCGTGAAATGTCGCCATCGGTAGCGTTGCCGTAAACAAGCATTTCAGCGCAATTTGCAATCAATATGTTACAGCATTTTACTGCTGTGAACTTGAAATTGCAAATTTCCCTTAAAGGAATTTCTAGAAGAGAAATGTCTACTAATTTCTCTCTAAAGTTAGGTCATCGCTTGGATCAATTAAACGGTCGTTTGAGGAGTTCGATGATCGTTCAGTTATAAAAAGGCTTTATATAAAGTTAGTAAGACCAATGTTTGAATATGCGTCTGTTCGGTGATCTCCTTTCTATAGGCGTTATGCAGTTTCAAAGGAATTCCGGTTCTTTACCTTTTAGAATTTGAATTGAGACCTGTTCGTCGCTTTGCTTCCTTATGAAAACAGGTTGCTTCTGTTATTCTTACCGTCACTTAAGAAACTTAGATTTATTCTCGGCACTTCCTTCTTAATTAATCTGCTAAATGGTACTATCGTACACTTAAATTACTTGGAGAGATAAACTTCAATGTCCCAAGCCGGCTCTCTAGGAACTTTGCTTTAATAAATCTTAGTCAATGCAGACATAATTACTAGCTTTTTATAATTAGCTTTTCAATCCTTTTAAAGTCTAAGTGGTATATATAGTTTAATCTCAATATCAGATTTATTAAAAGCTATCGATACACGCACCTTCCCTATGTCGTATCAAAATGAGATTCTTATCTCGATATCTTTATAGGATTCAAAAATTGAATTACATTTTATCAATCCGTTGCCGAGCTTTTACATGTTTGCAACGGGTCGGAGGTTCACCTCTAAAAATAATTATGCCTCTGTTCTAGATGTGTACCTGCCTTTTTTTCTGTGTTTATTTATACACGAATTTTGTTCTTTTTATTTTTCCTTAAATACCTTTTAATCGTTATCAGTAACGCTTAGCATAAGATTTATATTTAAGAGCCAATTAAGTTCGGCTGTTAACGAGCTGCGAGATGGGCTGCGACATTTAAAGCACTAAGTGAAAAATTGAAAAATTTTCAGTGTAGAAGCGATTAAAAATGAATATTGAACTAAGATAACCTAACCGTCACAACTGTTTTCAAATATTACTCGATATTATCCATATTATCCACATTAAAGTTAAGTTGTTGGCGAAAGAAAGAAGAAGAATATAAAAACTTTTTAATTGTTTATGAAGGCACAAGTTCCCTAATTTAAGAATTGCGTGGATACAGTTGATTGTTTAAGTAAATAGTTATGATCATATGCTAAGCACGCTCAATAAAAAAACGTAAATTGGTAGCAGGGTCCCTCGGCTGTTATATGTCAATACAATACGGAGAAGACTGTTTTTTGGGATAAGAATGCGATAATTACGTTCTTCTCAGGTTAAGTTAAAAATTTTTTGGTTAAATCGTAGGTAAATTTTTATAAAATATGTACATTGATGCCTCATAAAACCTCCATATACTTTACCAGTTTGTGATGCGAGGACCATCGCAGTCATGATGATGATGATATTGGCAAAAACCAAGAGTACTTCTGGATGAGCTTTAATAGAATTTAAAAGCACCTAACATAGATACTACGCCGCAACCATCTAATAACTCCAATATTTACCGACAATGTTCAACAAACAAATTAACTGAAATCGAAGAACACGTACAAATGCTGTACTACGCCCTGTTTGCGTCTAGGTGCTTTATATTATCGATTGTATCAAAAGGAATATTAAGTTAAATTACTTGTGCTTTAAACACTTCATTTTACATATGTAGCGTATTTACAATTTTTTATAATAAGCCTCCAAATAGTCGAAATTTCCAACATATGTAGCTACTCAGCATTCACTTTTGATAATCTGCGATAACTACTTAACTTGTTTATGCCGTTAATCTGAAGAAATCATCAAACATCATTTGCACTTAATTTGTCAATGGTTGACGATAAATTGCATAATTTTGGAACTCAGTGGCGTTAGCCGTACGTATTATAGCAATATTTAAAAGGTCATGTAAAAATTGTTAATAGAAAAAAAGAAACCAAAGAGCTTTCTAAGGAATTCAAATTAGTTGAAATACTAGCTGAGGACTACTAGAGACTCAAAGGGTCAAACTTTTCACTTGAAAGCCAATTATAGTCAACTTAGAGATATTCTCTTGTTATACTACTGTATGTGTATTCACAATTTTTGGTACAAAAGTTCGTACGACGGTGTCCCTATCCAGAAGGACGTAACATTAAATTTTTGTCGTGCAACGTTTGTTAAATAGCAACATCATAGCGGTTTGTTAAATTCAATGATGGTTTTTAATAGTCGGATGGAAGAAAGTTGGTAAACCTGAGAGACTGCGATGCCTGCGGGAAAAAGGAAAGAAGATGAACAGAAAACAATGTATGCGAAGTGAAGAGAGGACAACAAAAAAGTTTTTGTACATTATTACAGATTATAAAAAGATATTATTTTTTAAGGAAAACTAACATTTACTTTATATATTTGAGTTGAAGGTTTTAAGTTTCTTTTGTGACATAATAAGGCTCGGAAATCTTCGGTAATTGTATTGTATAAAATGCCTGGAAACGTCTTATAAAAGTGACAAAATAGTGAAATATTTTTTTATTGATAAAATGTGAAAGTAAATGAAAATCTGCGTTTACAACACAGCGTTGCCATTAAAAATACTTTCGTTGTCTAATTTATTGTTGATATATGTGCAAATATTTCTACATAAATGATAACGTTAAGAGTAATTACAATATACAGTCGTCAGGCTATTATAAGCTGTTCTTAGCATAATCGAGAAAGAAAATTCGTTACAAATTAACTGTAGTACCGATAATGGACAAAGCCAAGAGTGTGGAAGCGTTTCTATGCGTGGAACCTGTTCATTAATATCATAGTGACAGTGAGTTGTGCGTTTGTTCGTTTACGAAACCAAATAAAAACTAAGCTAAATATATAATTTTTCTTAACTAAGATAATAATCCAGACACAAATCCGAAGGTGAAGTGTAAAGAGTGTTTGCATGGAGTAAGAATTTCGAAATGCAACAAATTGGTACAAAAAAGTGATGAAAATAAGTTGAATGCTATGAGCAACACTTGTGACTGAACACTTACGTTTTCTTGCTAATTTTATGTTCATCTTAATTTTAACATTTCCGCGGATGTTAGCAACAAAGACAACTCGACTTCGGTCTATTATTTGTATGCAATGTTTCTCTTTTCTTCAATAGCAAATTTGTGCCGTTGAGAACAAAGCAGAAATATATTATGCAAGATGGCTACACAAGCACGACAGCGTATAGCGATATTTTGTTTCAAGTAGAAAATGTGAATATATTGGGAACTTTATGCGTATCTTTTGGCGATAAGAACAGTAGAGCTGGAGTTAAATGACTACATTTTTTTATGTGTAATAATCAGCAAATTACTAACCGTGTTTAGTCAGTAAAAATGTGCGTAGCCGTATAAATGCAAATATTTGATAACGTTAAGAATAATAACAAAAAGATATAATCGTCAAGCTATGGAAGCATTTATGTGTTTGTTCGTTTACGAAACAAAATAAAAACTAAGCTAAATATATAATCTTTCTTCACTAAAATAATGATCCCGAAAGAAAACCGATGGTGAAGTGTGTTTGGGTGGTGTAAGAATATTTAAATGCAACAAATTTACACACAAAAGTAACGGAAAATAGTTAAAAACAATGAGCAAATATAGCAAAACTTCACTCTAATTTCAACATCTCCGCGGACATCAGCAACAACCACAACAGCAACAAAAACAACGGCAACAGCTAGAAAAATAGAACAATCTGTAACATGTATAATCGCAACATCGTCACAAACAACAACTGTAGTAAATCATTATTCCCGTTTTCATCATCAACACTAACATATCGGCAGCGTCTCCGAATTCTTTTCGATGTTGAGTAAACTAAACGGAATAAACTCAAGTCCAAGCTAAACTGTAATATTTCACATTATCACCTAAATACGTAAACACTAGGGAATGTTGCCTAATCAAATTGAAAATTCCTTTTTAAATGATTCCCAATCCTTTTATCGCCCTCTTTTTCTCTATCTATCTATCTATCTTTCACCCGCGATCTGCCTTTATATCAGTTTATCCCCTTTTGTTTCAAATGGGCAATAAATATATATATCCATACAAACATATGCATATGTAAAAATTTAAAATAAATATGAATAAAAAGCAAATTTAAATCATATTGATGTTAAAACATTATATTTTTCAAATGTAACGCGAAAATAAATTAAAAGAGGGAAGTAGAATCTAACGGTTGTCGCACCCCAAGTGGGGACGCTCTATATAAAATAATGGGCCCATGAATACCATACGTAGGGTACACTACAAAGTTTCCCTGGGCGTAAGACTAGCTCGTCCGGTAAGTAAGCTTCGTCCGCCCGTTTGCCCTCATAAGGGTTTTAGCACATGCATTCCGCTGCGTTACTTCCGAAATAGCTAGCTTATCAACGACACGTCCATTGGTTTACAGCCTCTAGTCTTTCGACCTTTTTAACGTATACTGTTTCTTATTACGTAAGAGGTGGCAGAAGATACGATGTGAGATCGTAGGCATCATGCATTAGAAGGACGCATCTCTCATTATATCAATCGATTCAGAATCACTTTCTGTGTCGACTTAGACCATTTGTCTGTCGTGTTTTCTTGTGTTCAACATATAGATCGAATTATTTTGCACATTTCGTCGAAATTTGGTAAATCGCCATGTTTCGGCCCAATTATAATAGTTTGGATCGAACTGCTTTGTCGACAACATCCCATATGGAATCCAAATGGAGTGTTATCAGGACCGAATTTGCAGCTTTGCATGAAAATTAGCTTTTCCTTCAAAAGCACCTGGTATCCATACAAGGTGACAGTCCTCAATTTGAGACTCATATATCATCTTATGTATTTTAATTGAATAAAGTTTAAAGCTTTTGGCCTAAAATATTAATGCGCATTAACACCCTATCCTTTTAAAAATACGTCCTTTACTAAACTTAAAACGGTTATCATCAGAGGTGGTTTGCCGGTCATAAAAAGTATTTATTACTCCTTATATTGTAACGGGAGGAATAACATTGCCACCTACGAAGATAAAATTAAAATTTGTTGGGTATCAAGCCGTATTAGCCTCTTGGGAAATGAATGAGCAGAGCTTGCATCCAAATCCGTAGCTTTTGCGCCTTTAATTATGGATGACATGAAGTTACGAAAGTTTCAAAGGTATATAGGAAAAAATTAAAGAGAAAACTGACAGAGTCGACGATGCTACCGTCTACGCTACTCGAATCTTAATTCTAGCTTTGTTCCGTCTCTGTAAGAATCTGATTCGAACCATTTCAACACATCAATAGATGCTTAAGAAACTTACTGTCTCTAACTGCGGCCGTGAACAAAATCTCACGGCCAAACGTTTACTTTCTGAATGCCAAAGTATTTCTAGTATTCGAAAATTACTTGTTCGGAGCATCTAACCCTATAAACACTTTGAAAATACTAGGAAAACTTGATCATATTTTTATTATTTTCTTGGTTGATTGTTTATAATTTACTTGTTTTTCTCTTAAGTTTAGTATTTTCCTGTTTCTCCTGTTTCCTGTTGGCTCCAACCGTTAGATATTGATGATTCGGCCTGTCGTTTTTGACTTTAAATGAACACTTCTGCAAGCAAATCAACCGTTGTCTAACATCAGATAGAGTATAGTGAACTATTTCTACAAGGCATATACGATTTCGAGTGGTAATCCTTTATTCTTGGTGTATGATAGGCCTAGTTCCAGTAGTACTGGAGATTCTTACACATAAAAATTGTATCAATTAAATGTATGTAAATTATAAATATTACACTTCAACTTGGAAAAACAAAGAGTATTGTCGTCGGGCTAGACTAAACCACATTGTCCAACACAATTCTTATTGTTGCCATAGCGGGCAACAATTATACCCTGTTTTTATAAGAATATACTGTTATGGGATTGTACTTGCAAATAAAGCCCGTGCTCCATTCGAATGGATGTGCCCAAGAGATTTAAAAATTGGGGTACTTTTCATATAAGGGATATGAGGGGTGAAGTCCTTGCATAGGTTAAGATCCAAAAAATAAGCGTTCATACCAATTTAGAATGCCAAAACACTACTACTTAGCCATTTTTGCCGAAAAGTTTTGAAAATTGCAGTGTTTTCCATATAATGACTTTTCAGAATAGGGCGTTATGTGGGGAGTGTTGGAAAAAGAGGACCGATCCGAACCATTTTCAGCGTTCTTCCTTGGATTAAACCACTTCGGCGTATCAAACTTCATCAAAATATGTCAAGAATCGCGATCTGTAATTTGAACACTAATTACATGGACGGACATCAGACGGACAGACAAGTTTAGATCTGTTTGGATTATGAAACTGAATTTAATGAAAAATTTGCAAACGTTCTTTATTACGATTATCAGAAGTTTGCATCGAATTTATTGTCCATATGCAGTAAATAAAATGATCCGTTTATGTATAGCTTTTAGTAACTATTTTATTCCAATAACGAAACTAAACAATACATTTGCATATTGAACAATCCTTTAATTCTAATTAACATGCCGAAACGAATGTCATATAAGTAATCGCAACTTTAAAATAAATTTAGATAAATAATTCATATTTTTAATGAACTGATTGTGTCATTAAATCTTCACGTTTATCGTCGATTCCTATTCTGTCTTCCTAGTGAATAACGGTTTTATTACTTAAAATCTTTTCCATTCCTAAAATGTTACGAGCAATACCATCGTTATATTCTGGTTGCTGAACAATACTCGCCGGTCGTTCCGATTCCTGGAATTGAATAAGAAAAATATAATCGGGAAAATTATCAAAACCATACAAAATATTATGAATCAAACCTCAGATTCTTCCATATCCTGGGGATTTGTCCAGATTTCGGTACCAATGATTTCGCTGCCCGAGGCTGAGGATAGCACTGGCCTGGCCGGTATAACAGGTGATCTTATACAAACTCTTAGCATAGACAAAAGCAAATTCATTGAAATTCTTCTTATTGGTAAGATATTTCATAATGTCTTACTTGTTCACATCTTCCAATTTCTTAAGTAATCTCTCGTTTTCCCTGCACACTATTTCTTGATCTCTGAGTATAGTTTCCCTAACCGTAAATAGATGATTATTTTCCTGACGCAAAGCCTCGTTTTCTTGCATATACAGCTTAACTAACTCTGCCAGCTCACTGCTATCTAATTCCGGTAAACGTTCTATATGTATTTTTGGTAGATTTGTACTCTCTCCGATCTGTTGCAAGTCAACTTCCTCATCTTCATCTTTTCGCTCACTATTTAGCTCGTGATGTAGATGGAGTACAGTTTTTAAATGTTCATTTTCCATTTCCAAAGATTTTATTTCTCGTTTTAAACTCAATATTAAAGCTTCGCGGGGGTCCATCATTATAACCGGTTTAGTGCGAATACGTTTCGCTCGCGAAGCATAGCGTAATGTATTTAAAGTCTCAGCAAAGTTGTAACGTGCGGGTGAGACGCAGGCTATCATCAAAGTTACGCCATTGCCAGCCAAACTGTCAGCCAATAATTTGGTAAGTTGACTATCTCGATACGGTATATGACCAAAACGTTTCTTGTTATCACTAAGCGACGCAATGCAATATCCTATATATGAAACGTGCAATTAAAAATACTTGTATCATTTGTTTTTTGTCGCTGTAAAGCTTACCCAACACCATTAAACTTTTATTGATATTGTTGGCTTCCTGTAATGTTTTACCGGCGCTCATGGTTTTCTTCGTTAATTCGCTCCCAGCTAAATCGACAAAGTTGATCTTACCATGCTTCGATAAGAATACACCGCCATCTGTTTGTTGCTCTGATACAATATGTACCGTAAGTATGGTGTGAGATCGTGACGAATGGTCGTTCATTGCATGAGAACCTACGGCACGATTACGCATACCTAAGGAAAGAGAAAATAATAAAAGTTTGTTAAGATATTTAATCAATACATTTCGATGGCCTTTGAAGAAAGGCACTGACCCCTATTAGAAGGAAAGCAAAATTCATTGTGGGAAAAAATATCATAATATTATGACCTACGGCAAATATTGATTTATGCAAATATTTTACTCTGTTCCCCCATGGCGGGTATACATAAATCTTCTCGTAGGTTCGCTTGGGGAAAGTGTGCGTACTTTTGTTTATCATTGAATATTTTTATTCGTCTGTCCAGCGCTTTCACCGATTGTAAATTATCAGTTAAATCGATCAAACATGAAAGTTATCTGTGATAACATAATAATTTCTCACTTAATATCTGAATTCCTGTGATCGTGGAAGGACAGATGGACGTCATAATTCAGAATGTAGTTGCTGGGCAAGTAAATGAAGAACTCATTCCCAGAGGGTTTGTATAAGGTTTTTTTTTTTTTTTGATGAGACTTTGTTTCCTCCTGTTTCCCTTTTGTTGACGTGTGCGTGAGCCTCTCAAGGGCTGCTGCAAAATGCTACTCGAATCAAAGCAAAAATAAAGAAAAAGTTTGTGCTAACATCAGCGCAGAATTGTTGCAATGAGCTGCCGTCCACAGTTTATAATGTCCTTATAAAAACAAGCACCAGCACCAAGATCATAAGAATGAATAAGGATGTCATAACTAGTTTCAGGAATTGGTCAAACGGGATGGATTAGATATTGACAAAGTTAGCTTTCAGCAGAATTACATAACATGGCAAGGAATGGACATAGGAATCGAATTACTAAAATTAAAATCTGATAAGAAGTGTTTTTGATAAAAAAAAAAGAAAAACAACGAGAAAAAATACCGGGCTTTACTGTTTGTATCTTTCAATAGTGAGTGGACGAACGTCTTTTTATCTAAAAGCCTACGCAATGTGTACAAACCTTTTTGATCTGAACTCAACAAAACCCAACCGCTGCTTAACTCTTATCTCTAAATGGGGTTTTATATTGTATCTTTGATTTTGAATTATGTAAAAATAACAAATTCTTTAAAGACGAAGCAAATAAGAAAATCTTGTCCGGCTGGAACCGAACTTTTTATCCTAAGTAAGTTAACACATTATAGTCTGACTAAGCCGACTACTAAATATCCCACACCCGTTGTGATACAGGGTATATAAAGTTTATACGGACGTGTGTCACACGCAGAAGCACTTAAAATAGCCCCACCTTTTATTACACTGCCTAAGCTTGTCTGCCCATCTATCGGTCTGACATCTGTCCAAATAAAAAAGCTACAAATATTTTAACATCCTTTGCAAAAAGACAAATGCTCGCGGAAATGGTTCGGATGGGTTCACTTTTTCAAGTACTACCCATATAATGCCTTATTCTGAAGAGTCCTTATTTGGAAGAAATTGAAATGTTCAAAATTTCTCGAAAAAAGTGTTAGTATTTCGGCATTCCAGATTGATGAGAAAACTTTGGAGCGGCTTTGGAGCAAAATATATCAAAGGCTTAGTATAAATTATAGATTATTGGTACTTTATTATCTGCATCCTAATGTTGACCATTGACTATTTGCTAAGGAAATACACAGTTAACGGACGCACGGACGAATGCCGCTAAATTAAATTTAAAGATCTCGCGCTGATCATATCACATACGTCCAGCTTTTTTTACACGACAGATACTTTCCTTAGGAAGCCGTGCAAACAATCGTGTAAAAAAAACACGCATCATGTGTAAAATAGAAAAACTCCAGAAATACTTCCCGAAAAACCGCCTAAAAAAAGTAATAATGAACATTATATTACAAATTCTATTAAAATTAGTGTAGAGTGAAAATCCCGCCCACAACTCCAACATAAAAGGATTTAAATTGAAAGTAGAAATAAAAATATTGATCGCTATATGATAACAAGCGTGCACGCGGACCAAATATATGCTACCATTAATAGATATGTCAAATACGTCTAGTACGTGAAGTATTTCGTTATTAACGACCTCTGCTCTTCTTTTTGTTTTTGTAAAGTCTGTTATTGACGCCTGGGCATAAACCGACCAACTTCTAATCACGGTATTGGGTCAATTGTATTTTGTGGCTGTATAAATAAGTTTCCGTAAGACTGACAAAATTACAATTAAAAAAAAATTTTATTTGAAATTCGTGCTAGAATAGAAAATTTGTGTAAAAATGTATTTGTTCTTATTCGTGAACCGTGTTCTTTTAAATTTGAGTAACAAAGAGGTGGCTGTATATACCTATTCTTACAAAAGGCTCGACAACAGCGAAATAAAGGCAATGCTTACGTTTTGAGGTACTTAGGTACTCTGATTAGTTTCATTATATGTCCACGTGTACTTGTTTAATACATATTTGAGTCGATCGCGTAAAAACTATTACTTACCTTCTTCTAAGACTGCCAACAAATCATCTAATTCTTGACAGTCAACATTGAAAAGATTTTCGACAAAGAAACCTCCCGATTTCTTAGACCAACGCACAGCCAATGATTGACGCATCGAACCAGGATTTAGTAAATCAATTACCTAAACGCGCATAATAAACATGAAAGGCAAAAAATGGAAAACAAAAATCTTTTGAAATTTGATTCAGTTGACCCTTTTAATGATTGGTTCGTATCGTTGATTTAATTTTTGTTTACTTTTGTTGTTATTCACTTATTTATATTGTAGGCTCTATTAACATCGAGTATATATTAAAAATTGATGCAACCGCATAATATAATAAACGTACGCCTGTTTAAAATGGTGGAGGCGTTTATTTACTATAAAAGTAAACATAGTTGCGCATGGCTTTCCGTTGCGGCCAAGCAATTTTCAAAAGTGGCACGCGATTTTTTATTTAAAAAAAAAAAAAAAAAATGCCTTTTTGTTTTTGTTTTTACTTCTTCGAGCGATTTGGAAAACAAATTTTAATATTAAATGCAAACTTACCCGTTCATTATAGATTTCTAAAAATGATGCCTTTAATATGAAATGAAAGTCCTTGCGGTTCTTTATCAAACGGAAGAGGTATACGAATGAACGGAAGATTAGGCCATGACGGGGATCAGTTAAATTAGGTTTTCCCAAAAACTTGAAATATTTGTAGCAAAAATTAATTCGTAACGTAAGTTGAAGGTAAATAAAATCAAATACTTACCAAATCGGGGGGTCCGGTTAGGGTATGAGTTTTACCTGAACCCGTTTGACCATAACAAAAAGCTGTGCAACTGAAACCTTCAATGGCCATTTCAATGATTCGCTTAATGCCTGAGTAGTCTAGAATATCCTCTTGAGTAGCTCCCGGCTCAAAAACCACATTGTAGGTAAACACTTTCACATTATCCCGATTGTTATTAGATTGCTGCTGCTGCTGGGCCATATGACGGCCATCGATCTGCATAGTTATGCGAATGGAAAATATTTAAAACAAAACGATAGCCAATTTTAATAATAAGACTTACTATAATCTGTCCATTGCCTTGATGTATGAAAGAAGAAGAAGAAGAAATTAAATTAAATATAAAGTTGAGGTCTTGTTCCGCCTTTAAGATAATTAATATGAAATCTCATTACATTACCGGGAAATTGTAGTATCGAAGCATTCCTATCGCGTCTCTCTTTGGGATTTAAGGGTCGTACTCGCACCACCACTTGAATGTTGTCATCAGGCGTGCACGGTTCACTGCTCGCCGACTTGGAGGCCACTATCTCTAAAGTGTCAGCGCTGCCAATTCTAAAATTTATTTAAGACAAATTTTGAAAAATACATATTAAAAGGTGAACTTGACTTTGAACTTTTCAGGGCATTTTTCTCTTTTCTGTTTTCTTTTTTATTTTTTTTCTTATTTTTATGAAAAGAAAAGCTAAGCAAGTAACTTAATTATTCATGTGTTAGTTTGTTAAATACAAAAAATTGCATATATGCAAATTTTTGTTGATTTTTCTTTATAAAAGCACGGTCACCCATTTTGCCACCTCTTTCTCTCTCACTCTCCCGCTCATACGTTCTATGGACATGCTCGCGTGTCCTTAGTCATCAATTGTCACAATGCATGCCTTTTTTTACTTATCAGAATTTACCAGTGACTTAATGTAGGTTTGCTTAATGTAAGCAAATGGTCAGTGAGGTCAGTGTCTCGTCCGGAAGCGGTGGTGAATACCAAAACTCTTTCTTTTGAACGTCCTATAGAGGCGATACATTCAACTTCAAGTCTATATAAATAAATGATTAGAAATATTAACAAAAAAGGAATGTTTATACATATATATATATATATATATATGTATATAGATATAGTATTTTTATACAGACTTAAGTTTCATTGCTCCAAACGTTAATGTAAATTTAATTAAATCAACTAAGAACTAAAAAATATTTTTATTCTAGGTTTTCATTATTATTTTCAGAATTCATGATTTTCATTTATACGCCGTTGGTACCTCTGTTAAAAAACGCGGATAAGTGAATTAAAGGCCTATAAAATATTGCTGGGCTTTTCACATTCGCCAAACTTAAACTTTTGTAGTAGCCCTCGTGGCAAATCGAATATGAAAATAAACTTGATTCCTTCACAAATAAGTTCACTAGAGTTAAAGACAACCTAGTGAATAGCTAAGACCGAAGGAATAATGTTCGATCACTACTGGTTTCGACTGATGTCAAAAAATTTGGTTTTTCTCGTTTTCACATCACGAAATGGCCTTGAAGAACAAGCGGCCTTACTGTCAATATTCTCAACTTTCATGTTAATACGATCCATCAGTAACCCTAGCAATTAGACTTAGAACTAGATTCTTGTTTTTTAAAGATAGACTAGATCGTTATTCCAGCCGCTTTAATAAAGTTTAATATTTTATTGTTAATATATTCTCCAAATACTTTCAAGATGTCCACACAGTTCCCAAGGCATAAACCGAAAAAGAGCACATTGGTCGATAGAAAATGATATTCTTATGAGAAAAGCTGGTATTTTCGGAATGAAAATTCCATTCACTATCTCTATTGTGCTTACAAGGTAGTCATTGCGAACTGTAGCAAGCATGAGTTTTTTCAATAACAAAAACAATTGTGAGCACTAATTACGCGAAGCAATTAATCTAATTGTAGAAAATAGAATGTATAAAAACACTTAATAAAATTTTTAATTAAGTAAAACAGCTTCTTGTTAAAACGAATCATTTCTAATTATAGTAAAACATGAGGATTTTAAACCTTACAAGCAATAGATGCTAAACCTATAGCTCGACAATGTAATATAATACAACGTGAATACAATATGCGTGTAATTGTAAATTGTAAAATTTGAAAAGGTTCTTCTATGCAGCGGGGTAATCACACAGTGTATAAAAAATGTAGCTTTCGTTTTTGTCAAGCAGCTGAATACAAAGGCGAGATCTGACTTTTAGCTGTGTGATTCGCCCCAAAGATAATGAATATACGGACCCAGAAGTCAACTGAAGTCGCTTCCTAATCAGTAGTTTATAGGAGAGTCCTATAGAGAGGAAGAAGAACAAGAAGAAGAAGAAAAAAGACTTGTATCAATTGTATATAGAAAGTATACCAGAACCGTTCCAAATTTGTAATAACTTTGGATATTATTAAGTAAGAAGCCTTACAGTCACGTTTTTTTATTGCTTAAAGAATAAAATTTCACGATTAATCAGATACTTTGTGAGTACCGAAGCCTTTTCAATATTCATTGTCTCGTTGTCGTCGCGTCGAAGCTTACTTCTTGAAAATGCCTGGAGGACACAACATAGAACGTATAACTTTATTAAAGTGATTATGCTAAAAATTTAGGCTACCTTATAAAAAAAGAAGAGGCGACAGTGTTAATTGCTTGTGCTTATCGTCCTGTTTTAATTCTAGGACTTACATCTTCGAGCTAAATAAATTATAACAAGTAAGAAAGTTATATTCGGCTTGGGCTGAGTCTCGTTTACCCACCACTATTGAAAAGTCCACCATAATTAAATTATAACTAAGACATTTTATCGCAACTTACTCTCCACATCCTTTCAATTGATGTCTATATCAAAGATATTTTTAAGAAAACATTTATTCACCTAAGGCGTGTGGCGTGTATTAATTTAGAATTAACACGCTTGGCTTCTCCCATTCTACTCTCCAAATTCTTTTATTTGATACCCATATCGCTGGTATTGCTAGGAAAAAATTAATTCATCAAGCCGTGGGGTTAAAATATTTATTTTGGAATTAACCCATGTTTAGGCAGTTAATATGTCTTCATTTGAGGATTGTTCGAAGTAGTTTTAAGCATTCTGTCTTGTTTGCCTTATCATAAATAAGCATAAAGCCTCAAAAATGTGTAAAAAATAAAATTGAATCTCTTGTAACTTTGTGTGGACATGGCCCACGTTTCCATTTTTTTCACGTAGGTAGTAGAGTGCTTCGTAAATGTGGAAAATTTCAGCTTCCAACTTTTATAATTTCTGAGTAGCAAGAAAAATCCCCAAACTTTTTTGTTAAGAAAAATGGAGTTGCATTCAGTCCATGCTCCAGTGCGGGCATTTGCTCTGACCAATTTGGACCATTTTCAATACCAAAATGAGCGCAGAAATTGCCAGCTTCTATCAAATTTTAAGTAGGTTTTCACGTTTGCGACCAGGAAAGTACCAACAACAAACACCACACAGACACACGGACGCACCGACGTAGCTTAATCAATTCAGATGATCAATCAAGGATATATATACCTTGTAGGATCTTTGAGACTTTCTTTCCCGTGTTCCAAAATGAGTGTAAGCGTATCCCTCGATAGTGGTTGTATTAACAATATTAACAATAGCATCCATTAGTTTTAAAAGACAATTTTTTTGTGCGTTGCATAGATTCACCAAAAACACAATTACGTCACAATTTTAGCGGACTAAATAATTGTGATCATGGTAGTAAACCTCGCGCTTTGTATATTTTTGGAGCCACGGCTCACCTTTAGATACCCTCTATTATCCCACAGGTAATCATATAGTGGCTTTTCAAAATAAGGCATTCTAAGGGGACTGGTCGAAGAAGTGGTCCGATCGAAATCATTTCCAATAGCGTTCGCCTCAAAGCCAAAATTCATTAAAATATCTCGAAAACACAAAAAAAAACGAGACAGACAAACGGACAGACAAAATGAATTCAGATTGAAGAAGAAATGATTGAAAAATTGAGAAAATAGTTTAATATAAAGTCCTTCTGGGTGTTGTATATATCCGCACAAACTTAATCTACCCTTGTACCACAAAACTGGGGCAGGGTATAAAAGCTTAACAAAGTACACCATCATTTTCATATCGATTGCTTTTAATTGCCGGGTAAGTGCAGTGATTAATCTATTTTTGTTGTAATATGTTTCATTTGTCAATATTTCATTCATTGAATTCATTTCTTTTATAGTATTTCTCCCTGTGAGTTACACGTTTGCCTTATGATATCGTTCTTAAAGTAAAGGTCATGGAGTATCGTAGATTTACTACTATTTTTATTGCACATAATAGTTGAGATTAGTTGATTTTACTTGTGTGCGTCGTAAGTGATGCAGCATGTTAGTCTGGCGATTCAGTCAAAGAAAAGTTATTTCATCAGGCAATGGGGTTCATTAAAATCGATCGGTTTTAAATTAAAATTTATATATAATTGCCTCAGTTCAAAGTTGCTTTAACTTTTGACTTAAGGCTCACTTCTACTATGAAGCGTTTCTTTCTTCCTTTCTTAAACTATGGCGCAAAGATCATGACCAGATTAAAAATCGATTAGGAGAAGTCTAAGAACTAAAATTAAACTCTTATAATGTTCACTGTCGCGGACATAGCAAGCTATTCCACCCTGAGTGATAAAAAGTAGGTCATCATAACGAAGGCATTGAATAATGGATTTTAGTTGTGAAAAATCTTCTACCAAACCATATTGACGTGATGTCAATTTTCTCAGCATTTTATATCCATTGCGACAACGGATGAGGTGAGGTGAACTTATTAAGGAAATATGGGAATTATGTAGAAAAAAGAAATACCTCTTCAAAAGTACAAGCTACTACTACTAAAATACTAAAATACATGAGTGAATGAATCGCGCGATAGACAAGCACGTGACACTTCTAACAAAGAAACCAAGTGCTATGTTTAGAAAGTGTCAACTTTCAGACAGGATGATTATCAAAATTTCGTATCATTAGTTTAAAACTGCAATGGTTTTGATGAAACTATTTTAATCTCATCTCAAAAGCGGAATTTCATGTCACAGACGTTCAAACTCAGCTCATTGCTTTGAAAAGAGTTTTAGTGGCTCTTGCCCATCGATAATAAAAATTTACCGATCGTTTGCTGACATTGAATGACATAGCGCAGGCATCGGTGGTGCTGAACGAAATGAACGTCGAAATATGGAGCGTACAACATAAAACAATGGAAAAATTCCAGAAATCATTCTCACGAGCTGAATAGTGATATTACAAGGCCATAATTGACATCCTAAAAACATCAGAAGACTGTGTTCAGGCTTCGCTCTCCAGCGCTGAATAGTATTATTACAAGATCATAATTGGCAAATTGAAAACCTTAGAAGACTGTGTCCACTGCTATGCATAAATATTTCAGCCTAAGAAAATTGTCATACTACGTTCCGTAATAATGATTCGAGGGTTTGAGACGGTTGCATGAACTAAAGTTGAAATTCCTGTCATATCCTCCAGATCTGGCACCAGTGATAGATAAATATGTATATGTTTGTCAACTTGAAAGCGGCGATCCAAGAAGAAACATTTGAATCAAAGCTTAAGGTCATTGCGAAAACTGAAGTGTGTTTTGAGTGTGCTTTGAGAAGTCATTCTAAAAAAAAAGTTTAATCGAAATGCTGCACGAGCGTTGAAATGATTGTATCAAAAATAGAGGCGTCGTCAGTTTGTCTGGTACTGTGGGCGTATCAACCAATTCGATCCAATGACCCATTTTCAAGAACTTTCAATGTTTCTGCCTGTTCGAAGTTCATAGCTGAAGTTCAATGCTTAAGCCGGTAAGAATACACCTGTGTGTTCCCTGAAACTTGCTTCTGGGCGTTGCAATCGTTTTGAGATAAGGAATATACCCCACATTCTTCGGGGATGCCCACAAAAAACAATCACAAAAAAATGTATGAGGATATGCAATTAGATAATGTATATAAAATATTCTATAGAACACGTACATATATATATATATATATATGCCTATGTTTTTCTTTTGTCAAAGTATTTTTTCATTCTTATAAATCCAATCGGAACATCGAATCTTGCTGCTTGCTAATAATAATAATATTTCTTTATTGACTAGAAAAGAAGCAAGAGAGAGACGATGAGACGACTTCCCTAGAATATAGGTTCCTCCTATATGCAAGTTATTCATACTTTAAATGGCTGAAATGCCTTAGTTATACGTCAACGGGACGAAAGTGCTTTTCAAAAGCGTTATCCATATCTTTAGTCGATGAAAGGAATTTTTAAAGGCATTATTCACGCCTTAACTCGGCGTAAGGAGTTTTTAAAAATATTAATTAAACCTTAAGTCGACGAAAGGTGTTTTTAAAGGCATTATTCATACCTTAGGCCAACGAAAGGAACTTGTAAAGCCGTTAAGTCAACGAAAGGGGTTTGTATAAGTCACGATGACTTTTGGAATATTTTCAATTCAATAGCAACAAACACTCCAAGAATTGTCGCTAGAAATTAGGCACTAAACGAAAAAAGTATTAGATAAAAACGAAAGTGATAATTAAAAAAACTTTAACTTCTAACTAAAACGCAGTCGGTATTCTTCAAGCGGGAAATTTACATCATCAAAAATGGATTAGGTCTAGGATAACTTGGCTATGAATTTTGAAAAAATGTCGACTTTTTTACGCCCATTCGATGTCAGTTATTATTGCGTAAATTTTCTAATTTAAAGCGAAACAAGTTCGCAATAGATTGCGGTTGATCGTGTTTCTCGAAAATGTATTTTACAAAATTGCGTATCTCCATAATATGCATGTCGTATTAATGCATAAAAGTAAATCTTAAAAGATTGTGACATTTATTAAATTTATTTCACAATTAATTGTCGTCTATTATATGGGATTTAATTCTCGTTACTGAAAGTGAAAAGTAAAACACCTAATTGGCATAAGCAACGAGAGTTAAACTATTATTAGTTTAACTGCATGAATTAAACATTGAAGGAATATACAATATATATATAGAGGGGGGTTAGTACACGTTTTACGCATTTAGTTGACAACTTACTCGTTTTCTCTAGAACGTAGAAAGACTGGTGTATTCCTAGAACTGGAAGTGTTGGCAGTTGACTTTTGTGAGTCAAGACGTTGCATACCGTTGGTGAGGCTACGTGAACGCGGTAACTTTTGACCGTGACCGCATTGACGTTGTGTCGGTGTAATGGATTTACCAAGATTACGGCGTGGTTTGGCATTTGAAGCACGACCACGACTTGTCATACCACCCCCACTTGAACCTTTATAACTGCTACCACTACTGCCGCCACTACTATTTAATTGAGGTACACTCGAAGTACGATAAACCATTTTAACAATTTACTTATTATTTATTTATCATATGATATTTTCGTTTTTATTTTTATTATTATTTGTCATTTGTGAATTGCAAAATAATATTTTAATATCTTTTAATATTTCCTTCCTTCCCTTTTTTCGGCAGCGATTATAAGCTTCATATAAAATTGTATATTTTTCACTTCGTTACATACATATCATAAAGCCATAGTGTTTGGTTATCATGTAGTTCACTGTGTAATTTAACTCACTCTTTCTTCACATTCAAATCACTTTCAACATTTAGCCGTTAATTTTCATATCCCTTCCGTTCATTATGAAATTTCGGCTCGCACTAATTTCCCGCTATAGACGAGACTTCGTTTTTGTATGGCAATCGTGAATTAAACGAGTAAATGTTATCCTTTTTAAAAGAGAGATTTATGGTAATTGGTTATTTCGCTTACATACGGTCAACTGAAATGGTTTTTTCTCTTAACAGCTAAATATTGACCATCACTAATAACGGTAATAAAGTTTCATTAGTAATGAAATAAGAAATTCTTGATTACCTTAGTTAATTAATAACGTGATAATCTTATATGGGAAATATTTTTGATTTATATTCACTCCAGAAGTGTTACACAAAATGATATCGAAGACAAGTTAATAATAATAACACATAGCAAAAGTTATGTCCGTCTGTCCTTCTTCGAATTTCTTATTGCTGCACCATTAACGATCGCAACCATCGAAATCTGACATATCATTAACATTTAACTATTTAGACCTATTGACATATACTGACGTATTGCATGTACCTATTTCTACCAAAACAGGTCAATTTGGTCCATAATCTCTGCAGAATCGCCATAATTGCAAAAACATTTCCTGATCAATTGAGAATCCAAAATAAAACAAGTAAGAATGCTACAATCGACTGTTGGGTACTCTACACCACCTCGCTTATTTAATAAGACCTCAAAAATTGTACACTAGTCTTATGTAAATGCCTAATTCTCATGAAGGCTCTCATATTGGAGGATACTCAAACGTCGAAGGAGGACAAAATTACCAAACATAATTTACTTACTGCCAATAACAAGCAACAAGTTAAGCTTTATCCACATAGAAGACTTTGCTTTTGTTGTTTTTTTGTTCTTTATTTTTGTTTGTTTGTTTGTGGGTTAATCTAAAAAATAGGTCTGTATGATCGAGATTGCTTGTGATTTACTATGCAAAATTCTTAGTCATTATATATTAAAAAATATATTTTTGTCAACTAAATCCTTATTGTTCGTTACCGGTCGAGATCCAGAAAATAGATCTACGTGATACTATCCGGCCAAGTTAATTTTTATATCAAATTATTATTATGAACAGATTTTCAAAAACAAATAGTCCTAACTAACATATAAAAACTCCTTTTCCGAACGAACGAGCAAAGAGATCAAACAATTGCCCCATTCGATCCAAGGAGTTCACACTAATTTTGAAGTTACAAAAACTACAACAATTTTCCTTATAACGACTTAGCAAAATAAGTGCGGAGTGGTCGAAAAAGTGGTAGGATTCGAATCATTTCCAAAAGCGTTTGCCCTTGGGCTAAAACACGACAATGTATCAAATTTCATCAAAATATCTCGAAAATTGCAACCGATAGGTTTAACACAAAAATTCATGAACTTCACCGTTTTCTAAATCGACCGATCTAGCCCAAACGCGAACTTTTATGCATTTTCGCCCCAAGAATAGCTGCTTAAAGACGAAGATTTTTCCTTCGGAGTTAACGATTTTTTAGTCATTGGACGATATTTCACTCCGCGAACAAGAAAAATCTGAACATTTGACGAACTCATAGATCAGAAGACTTAGAGGAAAGATAATGATGACACCCTCAAAACGTTTATATGCAACTAATACCAACTATGTTTTCATCGAATAAAATATGTTTCCTAATTCAACTTAGCCAAATCAAAAAATTGACATTCATCAATACATAATTATAATCTGTCTCTATGATAAAGCACACTTCTGACAAAAGCGAGTATACAACACTCTAGCTGTCATCTGTGTAAGATAAAATTTGCATAACATGTATAAGCAAAAAAAAGGAAAAATGCCTCAACAATTGATGGCGTCCACCGTCTCTTCAGAACGTTTAGATTTACCTGTCATTTTAACTTCACGCCACGAACTGCTAAAGATTCTAACAATTTAATATCCAAGTGTGAAGAATACATACGTTTTGCTACATATAAACTGGCGGAAAGAGCAAAAATTTGAGATAAAGAGAGAGAGAGAGAGAGAGCCGGAGAGAGAAGGGCGATTAGGTAATTCCTTTCTTGCCAACTTAATAATGGATATGTTAAAATAAAATCTCCAGTCACTACTTTATTTCTTATACATCAGTCATTAACGACCATGCATCAAGGCCGTCGTCTAAACTAATTGAGAAAATGCAGTCATAAGAAAAACAATTTGATAGGTTTTATGAACAAACGATTATGCAAAATGTGTCTGCAGTTTTTTCTCGTTTTCTTTTTTTCTCATAGAATTTTATTACATAGGCGTACACGTATATACGTATATTTATATACTAAACGTCATAAGATTATTAGTTTTAAACTTAATTTAATTATTCTGCATAAGATATTCATACAACATACATATTATCAGGAGAAATTAATAAAATTTTAAAAAATATTGAATTTTCCTTTATTAGTTTTATACATCATCAAGTAGTCATTGACATGTAGAAAATGAGTTTGTTTACTAAACATAAATTCTACATTTTATGTATCTTTTTTATATAGATATATGTGTATATATATATATATATATGTTTGTTTACTATTTGCAGTGCAATTAAACTTTGATTTTTTTTTTTTTTAACCTTAATCGCAATGGCTTTATACACAAATATAAGAATTTAAATTTTATTTCATATTCATCGAAATACATTATTTACTCAGTTACTGAAATTAAAATAAAACTAAACGGAAGAGACAATTATAAGGCTATGAGCGAATTCCTTCATTTCTCCACTTCTTTCTACCTACGTCTTCAACATTTCACCAGGCAACAAATTGTTTACCTCTCTAATGTCCCACAAATATTTCATTTCCCTCTCGTGTAGCTCCATTATGTTAGCTTTTATACAGGATGAATTCAAGACTGACGACCAATTCAATGATTTTGTAATGCAATATAAACTCGAAAGAAAAGTCTGTAAACTGTATTTGATATTTGTTTTATAATTAAATAAGCGTATTAGAGGCGTTTCTCTCACATACACTCGATGCTTTACCTTCTTAGCGATTGATTGTACAGTTTATTTATTATTCCTCATAAATTATACATAGAAGTAAAACTAATGGTCTAAACGAGCGATCATAAAAATGGGAGAAAACTATATACAATTAGTAAATTAATTCCTAAAGGAAAGTGTGCGATTTTCGAGAAGAACGTTTCTGAAATATTTACAATAAATACACCCTACTAAACATTAATGTCGTTACCGATCGTGGGATTTGTTGTGGGATATAATTCTTCGGAATACTTAGGTCGACATTCGGCACAAAACCATTTTCCTTGTGGCGCTACCATTATGCCCACACATTCGAAATGAAACCATTCAATAAGACAATTTTCTCCGTCGCATGCTATCATTTCAGAGACTTCGTCGTAAGGGCAACGACAATAACAATAGACCGATTCACCCTCTCTCGGTTGCCTAGCACCCGCCGGCGGCCGTATAGGATAGCGTATGTTGTTTGCCTTGAAATACTGCAAGGTAGCAAAATCTGGGTTTGGCAGCAGCGCTGGTGGTATTTTATGATTGAACGCCTTAGTTTGCGGTGTAGGCGGTGGAGGGGGGGCCGAAGGTAATAGAGCGGAAGCAGGATTAGTTAAAGGAAGCGGTCCACAAAGACCATGATTGGGCTTAATAAAATGAGCTAAAGTTGTACTTATGGCGTTGGTAGTTATACTGTCATCGTCACTGCTGCTCTCCGACATGTTATATTCACCTTGAGAGCTTGATTGTTTCACATTGTTATTCAAACCAATTTCTGACGGGCGTATCTTTAACGTGGGTATAGGTGGCAAATTACTACCTGAATTTAGATCCTTCTTCTTAGATGGTCGTTTACGTGTTGCTTTATCGCTTGTGCCAGTTAAACGTGGCTTCTTCTTATTTGAAAGAGTAGCAACGTTACTTGAGGACGAATTGAATAGATTCCCTATTCCCGAAGTTTTGGGAATTCTCGTAGCTTTATTTCTATTGTTTAATATACTTTTTGATGGTGTCGGCAAATCCTCTTTGCGCCAAGTTAATTGAGGTGGTGGCTGAGGTTTAAAAGCTCTCATGCCTATCATAAGGGGCTGACCGAAAGAACCGCTTGTAATGTTTTCATCATCACTTGTGTAACCATAAAATTTATTAGGTCTACGTGCTCGTTTTGAACGTTTCAAGGACCCGTCTGCATCTGAGCAGCTGCTTCCTTCGCTTATGCGACCCGTACCAATGCCATAAATGGCCGTGGCCATATTTAAAGGCCTAGACAGAGACGATTGCTCATCAATGATTGCCGTTGCTGATGCATAAATATTACTCGCCGGATGAGCGATAGTTAGTGGAGGCGGGATTTGAGCTTCTGCAACTGACATTAAGGATTGATGTTGTAGCTCTGGCGGGTTTGTACTAGCTAGAGGCGACATTGATTGCATATTATTAGCATGATTGTTGTGCAGTCCTGCCGCTTTGCACGAAGTTTTCCGGTCACGTTTCTTTTTCTTCACTTTCACTTTAATTTTTTCACTGCCCGCCACTTCTTCTGGCAAAGAGGGTGTTGATGGTCTACTGTTTTCAACAATATCGTAGTTGTGTGATGGCGAAAGTCTTGTCTGAGCCATAAGTTGAGCTCGTTTTTGAGCCAGTAGCTCATTGGCTAACTTTTGAGGATGTTCATCGTAGAATTCCTCGTCGGTTTCCGATTCATTGGTCTCTAGATCACTTTCACAGAATGGAGGTTCCTTGGCTGGAGAAGTCGGAGCAAAATTTTCGTCAGCGTCCTTTTCTCCATCCAGTCCTGCAACATCTTCTACATTGATAATGTCGCTGGTGCTAAGTTTACTAGAGTTTTTGACAGGCGATAAACTTTCACTTTTTTTCCGAAGACGGTCTCTTTCTGATTTTTTGCGATGTTTTTTACGCATTGAAATATTAGAGGCCGCTGAAGTATCACTATCGTCAGAAGATGAACTCGAAGAGCTACTATCACTTTCGCTAGATGAACATGAGCAATTGGAGCCACAAGAGCAACTGGAATCCGAGCTAGAACTTGATCCACTAGATGAAGAAGAGTTTTCTGATTTTTTTGAAGACAACTGGAGGGGCGACTTTTCATTTTCTTTTGTTGTTGGAGAACATTTCGGCGTACTATCCTGTGGCGTTAACAATCTAATTGGGCTTTTGTCTTTATTCTCTAAGGGTGGTGGAGGAGTCTTCGGTTTATACATGGCACAGTAATCGTGATCCGAATAAATAACATGCAACATATGTGGAGTTGGATAATTATCCTCCGTATAATCAGCTGTGGTTGTCAAACGTTTCAATTCTTCCGCGTTTGTGCCTTGTTGGGTTTTAAGGAAATTTTTCCAAATTTCCAAAACTTGACCAGGATTCTGCTTCTCCGTTTCAGGAGACATCTCTTCTTCGTTCTCAGCCTCCGAAGGGGGCGAGAGCATAACACGTGGCAAAGCGTCCAGCTCACCCTTGGTTTTTGAATCTGAATCGGAATCATCATCGCTACTGTCAGATTCTGATAAGTTAGGCGCAGTTAAATTCAAATCATCCAACAATTCTTTAGGACGTTTATGTTTTTTGTTACGTCTTTTACGCGGGGTATCTTGCTCAAGCGAGTGAGATTTGCTTTCCTCCTTTCGTGATTCAATCTCAGCAATTATGTTGGACTTTTCGTCGTTTTCTTCTTTTTTCAAAGTGTTTTCGAATTTCGTATTAGGATCTTCAACAGGTTCCTTCTTAACAAGAATGGATTCTTCCTTGAGTTGTGCGACACCCTTTTCTGGCTTTTCATCTTCCTCCCCAAGGGCTTTCCCTGACTCGTCGAGTTTCTTCAACACCGGCGTTACTGGCATTGGCTCATGCACCGCAGCATGTTTGAGCAAAAGTCTTCTGGATATAAACTTTTCATCACAATTATCTTCGGCACAAGGATATCGTAAATCTCCAGTATGTAAACGTTTGTGTACTCTTAAGTGCATGGCTTTGGAGAAAGACATATTGCAAACCTCACATAGAAATGTTTGCGGAGGTATGCAAAAATGGTAAACATGACGCCAACGTTTCTGTAGACAACGCTTGCAAATTGTACTTTCCGTTCCATGTTTCCAAAATAAATGTTTAGTTATGTCCATTTTATTGCGATATGCTATACCGCATCGATAACATAAATGGTGAAGTTTATGTTTCCACACATGTGAACTGAGTCTGCTTTGGTCTCGACAGTCTTCCAAACAAACATCACAAGCAAAATGACGTTTGCGCAAATGGACCATCAAACGAAACGGTGACGGTATGTTGTCCACGTTGCATAAGCAACAACGGAATTTCATGTCAAATACGGAAACTTTGTTTGCTACTCCAGGGCATACATGGCATAGAATCTCACTAAAACTGAAGAAGTGAGCACGGCACATAAAGCAAAGGATAGCAGTTCGCAAGTGCATCTTCCGATTATGCAAATATAATTCTTTATGCGTAGAGGTGACGAACCGGCATTGAAAGCATTCGAATTGTCGTTCATCGAATGGGAGGGTAAATGCGCTTATGCCCATTGAACAATAGCTGCTCAGATTGAAGTGATGTTCTTCTAAATCCGATAAAAAACTCTTCAGTTTTGTCACTATAGTGTCTGAGTAAAGTTCTTCAGCTGTAATACTATCTACCGTTGCGACAAAACGATGATGAGCAATGATGTGCAACACCAAGCTCTTACCATTCACCGCTATACGACGAGCGTAGTTACAATACAAGCACAAAGGATAGACAGCTTTCAAGCAGATTCGTACAAATTCAATAGTTTCATATTTGTCTAAGGGACGGTCTAATTGTAATTCTGTTGTCAAAGTATCTTCACTTGCAACTTCTATTCCATCGGCTGGTAACTCTTTGTCTCGATTGGCTGCCGATGGTAGAAATTCCTCGGATCCTTTATTAGAACCGCCGCATACATCGATTTCCTTATCCTCGTCTTCTCCAGTCGCTTCAGAATGTTCACTAATATCCTTGTGCTCTAAATCAGTTTGCGACGAAGTATCCATTGGACTTAAGCGCTCATCGCTAGCGTTTATATCTACTTTCTCAGAAGGCTGTAAGCGTTCATCAGAGTTATTCGCGTCTTCTGCCTTCTGAAAAGCTTCGGTTGGTAGATTTGGAAACATCTTGCCTTCTTCTATTTCGCTTTCTATGCTATGATTAACATCCAACGTTTTCGTAAAATTGCTGTCTGTCGAAGTGCTCAGCGATTCGCTCGTGGACTGAGTCAGTTCATTCCTAAAAAACGCAATTAAAAATAAAAAAAAAAGTCAATAGAATATAATAAAAAATATTGAAAATATATTGCTTGTAGTGCTAACAATATTTACCTCATAACTGTTGGAGTGGGTTGACCAGTAATTGTTTCATCAATATCCATTACCTCACTGCCAATAGTGTCACGTCTTTCCAGCATTTTCAAAGTTGACGCATCGTCATCATTCGAAGTAGTCGGGGGCGGTAACAAACTAGGTTGTTGGATTACATCCAAATTGCATTGATCTTGACTTTGCGTAACACCGTCTGTACGTGCCGGAAACCATCGCGAATTTGGTGAAGCCGGCGGAGTGGGCGACCAATTTTGCTCAGCAGCGCCCTGGCTAGATTGTGATGGAGTGGCGGACGGTCTCGATAAGACATGCGGTTTTGTTGCGTGTCGTGAAACTTTCTTAGTCCGTTGTATATCTAATTTAGTTCGTTCAATCTCCTGCATAATACGCAGCAAATTTTTATTGGGTTCATCAAGTGAATCATCTTCATCCAAAGAGTTATTAGCATTCAAAAGTTTGTGATCAACAGTAACTTCACCTGTTTCAATTTTCGTTGACGGCGTAGTGATATCGCTATTCTGGCTTACTGTTTCATTATAAGAAAAAGAAGATGGTCCGGTTAAGTTAGATTCATTTTGTTTCGATTCGTCGGCCAAATTCTCAGAATGTCCTAGGTCGTTATCTCCATATTCGCCGTCATCACTATCTGAAGTACTAAGAGCCGCATCAACAGATTTTTGGAACTCTTTCGGAACCCTAAGTTTAAATTTCGGCACGACCAATTTGGGCAGAGCGACAGCAGTAGACTGCACGTCCTCCGGCCTATCCGGAGGTAGTTCAACTTCCGTCATTGCTCTACACTGCTGCTCTTCCAAACGTTCGCGTTCGTCCAATTCTTTAAACGGATTTGTTTGCGTAATAGGATGGCTGGTTGTACACGATTCATCAATTACCATATTGCTACTACTATTGCTGTCATCGGTATGCATATCGTTAACCGCCAAAGAGGCCGAATTGGGCTTAATATCACAATTCAAAGTGGACGCCAACGACTCGGTACTAGTCGTTTCTGTAGTAAGAGGTTGATAATTAGTCAATGGTTGCATAGGTAACATCTCCGATGGCGGGACAATCACTTCCTTTGTTTGAGGTCTAAAACGAAACGATGGAATTAAAAATAGGAACAATTAATTGCGAGCTTACTTTTTCGCTAATTGGGGTTTTTCCTTTTTCTTTTTAAGTTTGCTAAAGTGTTTGGCTTCTGAATGAGTCTTGCACTGATTCGTATGTCGTCCCTTCTGACCGCATAGCGGACAGGGTGCAATGTATTCCGAACAATCGTGATGTGAGAAAGATTCATCTTCGCCGAACATATGCTGGCAAGTACAACACATTAGAAACCTAGCTTCCAAAGGGTAACTTCCCTTTAAAACTGTAGTACAGTTTCGTAGGGCCTCTTCGGAATGATAATGGTTCTGCTCGAGATCATGTTTAATTTCCAAATGCAAAGCTAACTTTTCAGCAGTTGGAAAAAACCGTGAACAATATAAACACATGTGGCGGTTGTGTTTTTCTCGTACGTGCAAGAATAGATTCCAATTTTCATGGAATGTACCACAGCTAGAACATTTGTAGTAACGTTTCCTGCCAGTTAAAGGAATCATTGCAGCTATTGTTTTCCTGTGCTCTTTTCCAACCTCAGATATTTTTGTGGATCCGCTTGCTGAGCTGCTTACCGGCAAAAGACTGCTTGAGCTACAGCATGAAGCCTGATGATCTGTTAAAGCGGAAAATGAATCAAATTTTCCGACTTTGCATTTAAAACAAAAGTATTTAATTGGAGTTGTAGAGGTCGTGAGTGTTGCGAATGATGTAGATGGTGGGGGAAACGTTTTTGAGACGCCCACAGATGTTTCCGAAACAAGTGGCCCCTGCGTCGCTAAAACATTGTTACGACTTTGAAACGGTGGCTTAGAAATTGGCGTCACTGGTGGTGGCATTAAAGGTTTTTCCAATTGTTGCAGGAGTAGAGATTTAGAAGTAACTGTCACTTCGGGTAAAGTAACTGTAGCTTGGCAAGATTCCTGTAAGTGTAAATGAAATTATTTCTTGAAAAACAAAAAAATATTTTTAATTGACGTTCGTACCGGCGCTTGAAGGGAAGAACTGGAGTCATTATTCGTTTGGGAAACTGTTGCCGTGTCATCACTGTTTAAGCCCCGGGAACAAGGCTCTTCTTCCTTAATTTGCATGCAAGTTGCTTTCTGCTTGGCTTCCTTAACTTGCAGCGATGATTCACAGGCCAGTTCCTTTTCGCTTACGTGATCATTTGGAATTTTCAAATATGCTTTTTCCACATTTTCTCCCATTTTCATATGTTCGTCATTGATTACTATACTTTCGCTAACGCGATCCGTGAAAGTGCTGCAATTATCATTTTTGTCCGCTAAATTTAATTGTTTCTGTTGAGGTTCCGTACTCTCACTGGCACTACTATGGGAAAGCTTTCGCTTCAGGTCAGTTTTAAACGGTGTCACCTTTTCCTCTTTCATTAAATCTTCCATGGGGTCCATGGGGTGATCTATAACTAACTGTTGCGAAGAACTTGAAGTACTACTTGAATCGGAACTGCACGAATTTACTGATGAGCGACTGGCGGCTTCATCCGCAAAAGATTGAGTCCAAGGTGATGCTTCATTTAGCCTTCCTTCTTCAATTTGTTGGGAATTTCCAGGTTCTTCACCTTCCTGTTTACTGTTAATTGCAATACTTTCAGCGGATAACGATGAATCTACGGAAACATTTTTCTTACTACTTGCTATAGACTCTCCAAAACTTGGTAAGAAATGATCCGTGGATGTATGTTCACCGTTAAGTTGAGTTGATCTTGGGGGAGATGTATTGCTGCTGTCGTCTGCATTTATCACATTCGTATGCCACTTCCCCAATTGCTTATCACTTTCTCTAGTTTGCTTTTTATCCGCAAACATATTCTCAAAAGTTATTTGAGTTTCAGGTGTATTTCTTTCCATTGCAAATGGATTATGGCCTTTATTAGGTACTTTGTGATGCTCTTGTGACTGTCGTTGAACTAACAATGCACCTTCTCTCTCATCCAAATCGTTAACATCGGTTGTTGTTTCAAGCAAACTTTGCTGTGTCAATGATTCTATTGTTTGACTAGTATTGTCTTGACCACAATGATTTTCCAATTTGGGAGCATTGTCATTTGATTCGCTTCGAAATTCAACTAATTTTCCATTATTATTGTTACTGCTTGACCGACTATTGCTATCTTCTCTCTCTATATTACGAACAATGCAATGATCCTCTCCGTTATTACCAGCGGAATCGATTTCTAAATTTTCTGCTTGCTCCTGCTTACCTATAATATCTCCTGCAGAAAATTGATGCTTATGCTCTGTTTGTGAGAAGCCTGCAGATGTTTTCTCTGCAAATTCATTTTGTGTCTGTTCTTCATCGTCGCTTCTGAGAAGCTGCTCTTCCTCTTCCTTTGATATATTATCCACACTTTTACTCTCAGCATTTTTACCGTCAATGCCGTCAGTATCATCGTAATCGTCATCATCACTTCTGAGCAATTCATCTTCGTCATTATATAAGACTTTGCAGCAGGTTTTTGATACATGTTCATCTTGAATATCGTATTTGAATCTTTTTCTTTCTGGCGAATGTTCGTCTTCTTCGTCCATAACAAATGAAGATTTTACAATTTTATTTTCCACCATCGGTAGACTATCCGTCTGTTTTTCCACTTCTTTACTGTTTTGATGGCCAATGTAATTCCCATCTTCCTTCTCTTCGTTCAATTGGATACGATCAACATTACTAATGCAATTATTTGTAGTTGTTGCTTCTTGAATTAAACATCTTTTGGTATTTTCATTAACATGCAGCGAATTATTTGCAATTTTCTGATCATCGTTATTCACTGGCGGTGGAAATTGTGTTGGTGTCGAATCTAAGGTGGAACTGATATTAACCGCTTCAGTTTGTGCTTGATTGATAGTTTCCATCATTTTATTAACTACCTTTAAGTTTTGACTGCAAATAGAATAAGACAGTTTGTTATTTACAGTTACCAGGGTTGATTATAATTTTAAAAGAGTACACCTTTAATATAACAAGTTTATGAATAATTTTTCAAACAAAAAACACAAACAAGACAACCAAAACATAAAAACAAAAGCAATTTGTAAACATAATTAATGAGAAAACCAATTGCGCTCTTTTACTTTGCTTTTCTTTTGCACCACACCACGTTTTCCCGTTTGTTTTAATTCTTTTACAAAAACAATTCCAAATCCAATGAGCTGACTTTTTTCCTATTGCGATGCTTTTTTATTTGGTTTTATTTATATATATTTTCATTTTGCATTGATAAAATAGAAAACACATTTGTTAATATTAAAAAATATGGATAACAAGCAGAGCAACGAACACGCGCCTTTTTTTTTTTTTTTTGATAATCTTACTCACACAGACGCACAGCTGAATAACACTAGATAAACAATTGGAAAAGCCATTGGCAAAATAAAAGCAGAATAATTATCGCACGACCTCGTATATCTATAACAATTGCTTGTACACACAACGCTATCACAAGTCTTAACTTACCTTGTTAGACTTTGTTTATAAAGCACCAATAAAGGACTACGGTCGCTTTAGAACACTTAAACCAAGGGCTGCTCCATTTAGCTTAGCGTAATCAAAATGACATATGTAGATAAAGACTGTATCCGCTGTCCAAGAGTTTTATTCGCGGGGCCGGTAGTGGCTGAACCTATTATTATTTTTTTATGAGTCTGTGCACACTAACGTTCACAGAGCAACTGAATGCCACAAAACCATATATGAAACGAGTACGCGTCAACGAGCCCGAAAACTGTCTCGCCCAGCGGAGTCTCACAACGCGCGCTCTCTGCGACAGGCGGGGCGGCACGGAGCACCCTCTTATTCAATCACAAAAGTTTTAACTATTTCTTTCTTTTCGATATCAGAATTTCACAATAAGATCTACAATCTTTTTAACAAAATATCGCATAAATTTCCTAAAGTTTATTGCGTGTTATTTTTTTTATACGCGACTAATAATCGTCAAAAATTTTTTCTGTAATATATTTAGCGTGATTTTCTGATGGCTGCTTTTACAAGAATTGGCAAAGCACACTATTTTTTTTTCTGCACGCATACACCTTCATACGGTTATTTTATATCTCGTTTTGGGATTATCTTTTCTATTCTTTTCATATCTTTTTATTTAAATATTTTATCGCTCATTAGAGCTTGCAAATTAAATTAGATAAATTTCGTATTACTGTTATTCCATGAGCATTTTAAATTTATTTAATTTATGAAAAACACACATTCGACAAACAAAAAAAATTGCTGAACTTTTGGCGTTCATCTTCGTTTACTAAATCATGTTCCGGGTTGCATAGGAGCGTATGCTCGGTTGTACAATAAAGGTCCTTAAATAAAAACATAGCGTACACTGAGAGATTTATCTTCATTTTATTATTTGTACAAAGACGTTATCAGAGAAATATAACATGGAAAACTTAAACGGAAAATTAGGAAATAGCAAAGTTTGAATTGAAAACATAAATATAACCATTATTTTGAATTTACAAGTACATCTAATGAATAGTTCAATGCTTTCACCGTTTTCAATGCTTGCTATGCTGCACTTATGCAGAAGCGGCAACACTGGAGAAATTGCGGTTGATTTTACAGGTGTAATTGTTGATTTACATAATTAAGCCCTGATGGCTTTCGAGTGGTCTAAGCTTTTTATTTAATTGCTTAACTTCGTTTTTTATTAAAAAATAATTATTCAGCAACGAACAGGACAATATTTAAATGAAAACGTTTAAATGAGCCACAGAGTTCTCAACACTGTCGTTTCTTCCGAATAGCCTAGGAAATCTCTTTTTGCGTGCAAGTTGGAAGAATTCATACACATTCCATAGCTAAGAGTACGAGGTCTTTCCTTTAATCTTTTACTTGCTATATACATTCTTGGTTTAGTAACTTATTTATTAAAATTTACCATAAGTTAACTTCATTCAGGTTCAGAAATTTATTTCAGGTCTCAAAAGATGCGTACTCGCTAACTAGAATTCGTAATAAAAATATCCCTTTTCTATACATCTCTCCGGGTGATCAGTTTCTTTGAGAAGAATGTGGAGGATTGAGTTTTAAATGATCAAAACTTTTTGCAGTGATTTTGATTATTCGCTAGCGGTTTTGACCTTCCTTTAACTTGCTTTTTCCTTATTACTTGAGAAATATTTAACAGAATCCATAGTGTGATCTTTGTGTTTTTTAATTTTTTATTTTTTAGTTAACTTGCTTTCTAGGTGCTAGTGTTTTTTTATATTTAAAGGCATTGTTTTATATAATTTTTTTCGATTTCCTTTTATCTTTTTTTGGAACATATAAGTTTTTTGTGCGATAAATTTCAATTTGGAGATTTTGAAATCCGTTCACTTTTCCACGAATTTTAATTGTAAATTCTATAAATCGTCCATTATCCTGAGTTCGAGATTTTTTAACACATCGATTTTCTAAATAGAAACAAAGTTTATTTAGCGCTTCGAGTTCCTGCTTTTTAGTCTCTTTTCTTTAATTCGTAATTCTCTTCCTTTAGTTATTAAACCTTTTCTCAATTTTTCTTGTCTTCCGAAAATGTAATCTTTTTTGCGTTATATTTTTTCAGGAGGTTAATGATTGTCTCTTGATATGGTCCTCATGTTTTCTAATTGTGCACCGTAATTTTCTTTTTATGCGTTCATTCTTTTTTAGACAAATTAATTTCATTTTGCAAATTAGATTCTTATATAATGTTAACAGCTTGAGAATCCCTTGCCAAAATTTTAGCATCTGGGATCGTTTTATTACTAATTGCTTTTAAAAGTTTTCCTTTTAATTTCAAGAATTTTTCAGTTGTTTCATCTCTGATTTCACTGAACCACAGACGAGTTTAAATTTTGTTGTGTAATTGCCATGTCGCGTCTTTTTTCATTTTTGTACTGCCCATATAGCTGCCCATTGCAGTATTTTTATTCGTTGCTTTCTTTGTGAACAAGAGTGGTAACTTGTAATATACAAGGGTAAAATATAATAAAATTATTATTATTATAAACTTAGCCAGAGAATAAATTCTAAGATTAAAGTCATAAAGCACTAGCATCTAAGGCTTTCGGCTTTAATAAAAACTCTACCGCACTTGAGATTTGAACCCGCGACCATTGAGTTGCTAGTCGAGACTCTTGTCTACTCGGCCACTCAGGCGGATAACCTATATATATATAACCTATATATCACTTGTGGTACACGATTATAAAAGGTTTGTGGGAATGTTTGCCAGTTCATTAGTCTAAAGTTAAAATAATAATAATAATAATAATAAAATTTTAAGCGCGAAGCACTAAATGGAGTTGTGCAGTTGTAACTCCTTAAAGCCTTAACAAATCACTTAAAACTTGTTTGAAAATGACAAAATCTTGCCTGAACTAGGATTGCATTGACAAATCGATTTACAGTTCAATTTGTTCTTGGATTAGGCAGCGATTTTTGAATGATAAAGTGGGGTTATTCATGTTCAGTATAAGTCATGCAGAGATAGTTGTCTAACTTGGCTGCACTGCCGCCAAACATGTGATTTTTTAATTTCAAAGCATCCTAAGACACCTAAAAATAATGCAAAGAACGTTCTAATTTTATCAACGAAAAAATTTGATATATTACATAGAAATACTTTTTTTTTCATCTGAATAATTTTTGGGCAAAACAAATTTCTATTTTGCTTATTTTACTTTTCTCTTCATGAGCTTTTTTACGTCTTTTATGGATTTTCTTGGTTCTCTTCTTATATCCATCACCGAACGCTGAGGGGTGTATTCATTTGTCAAAACGTTTGCCACGTCTAGGAAGCAACCTTATAAATTGAATATGAACTTAGGCGCAACCTTACATATTGAAAATAAACTTCCTAGGCAGTTTAGGAAGCTTCAGACACGCAACAAAGTATATATAAAAATTGTGCACAGTTTTGTTGTTCATGTTTTTTTTTTGATAGTTGCTCATGTTGTACAACAAGTACACTGTATAAATGATTAATTTTTATTTTGAAAAGAGAAAAGGCTAGCCAAGCCCACGATATATTATAGAACATTATATAGAAATTAGAATTGGAATTATATAGAAAATTATAGAACATATAAAAATCTGGTTCTTTTCCTTTCTTTTTTAGGTTCACGGTGATGGCTATAAAAGATTCGGTCACGACCGAATATAATTTCCTTACGTGTTTTGATAACAACATCAGTTTTTTGTTTACTATAGGTTTTTTTTATGGTTAATAAAGCAAAAATATTTCCTCTTCCAAATTCTGAATAACCTATATGAAGCTGCATTTTTGTGGGATTTGCATATAGAAGACGTTAAATTCAAAAGCCCCTAACCGTGATCGTTTATTCTTCCAAAGATTGCTCTAGTTAACAGGAATTGATATGAACATCTTACTCATCCCTCGAGACATTGGATGTCATTATAAGTGGTCGTCAAGGCAATTGAAACAAAAGCAAGCAAGTCTTCTTTGTTATAAGTTCGTAGTTTATTTAAATAAAACGACATTTTATCGTTACACGTTTCCATGTGGAGATTATTTGTTGTTGTCTCGTGACTAAACTAAAATAATAAAAGGTCAAGCACTAGGAATGCAAGCTATTGGCTCTATTTAGGAAACGAAAATAAGATATTAAATAGATATTGAGTATTTTGAAAGAGTTCAGGACGTCCATAGGATTAGTAAGTCCGAATGTGATTTTACTAATGTAGCAAAAGTTTAGGCAGTCGCAAGGGATATGATTAATTGCAAGAATTTGTTCACTAATGCGAATTGAAGGACAAGGCTTCTTTAGAATCCATAGGAGTCTTCCAACTGTATAACCAAGCCGAATCCTCGCAAACGTTTTGACCTTAATTTTGTCAATATTTGTAGGATATAATGATGGATCTAGGTGGGAGTTAACAGAGGAGTTAATTTGGTAACGGTGGACCAGCTCGAAATTGAGAGATTCCGGAACGAAATTAAAGATGTGAAAGATGTGATTAAGAAGAATTCTCCCCGAAGCATCTACCTCGGCATAGGCAGGTGACAGACCGTTTAGAGCCGCCCCTTTTCAATATTTTAGTTTGTTCTTCAACTAGATTCATGGTGTGTCCCCGTTTTTGTACATAGAGAGGTCTGCCAAGACCCATGGACATATAAGACGATAATGTTGAATTCTTTTGCGACATACAAACAGTACTCGATTGGGGATGGTAATCTTTTAATTTTTTTTTACAAAATTATAAAATAGTTCACTATCCTTTAACTATTTTAGATAAAAAAATCATATAAAAATGTTTTACATTTATTTTTCTGAAAAGTTCACCAAGGCAGCAGCTTCTGTAAAAACAAAAAAAAAAGGCAAAAATATTAAAAAATTTCTTAACTCTCATGTAACGCGCAAACTGTTTGTCAAATTATGAAATGAATTTTAATTAAGCCGTGCTTCGTTTAAGTCGCCTTTATAAGGAGGATTTGAGGAATTGCGTAATTGTTTTAAATGATCAAAGCCCGTTCTCCGTTCCGTTTTGGAAACAAGTATTTTGAATATTCATTTGAGGTTTTGGTGTTATCGTAATTTAATTTTGCTTATTTCTTGAGAAATGTTCATCTGACATCATATGTCATTTTTGCGGTTTTTGAAAATTTTCTGGATATGTTTTGTTTTTTTACGCATTGCTCTATATAATTTTCTTTGATTTTCAACTTTTCTTGCAGCTCTTTAATCTTATCTTCAATCGTTGCCCTTTCAATGCCTGTTTGCCTTTTTTCTCGTTATATTTCTGCGTACTCTTTGTCGCACTGTTCCATATAAATATCTTTGAGTTGCATTTCCTCTTGCAGTTTTTTAACATATCCTTGCAATATCTGCCTACCAATGTTCATTTGTATTCTCTCTCGTTCCTTTTCTTCTTTGCATTTAACCTTCTTGCTTTACACATTCCTCTTTACTTTCTAATTCCTTTTGCTTCTTTTTAAAAATTTCTTGAAATATTTTCACTATGCCGGCGGTAAAGTTCGCGCAGTTCAATGACGCTTTGTCCTTATAAATGTATTAACCAAAGCTTGCTTTAAATGAGGTAAAAAGTGCGTTCACTTTGTACAACTTATTTCTGCACTTGTAATAATATCTTTCTTTCCACTTAAAACCGTTAGCTGCCTTTTTCCTTTACATCGATCAAAAAAAAAAAAAAAAACCATGTGGGGAGAATGTAGGGAGAACAGAGTTGTTTTAAATAAATTGCAACTCTTCGATTGTGTTAAAGTGACAGAAATTGAGTAGGCATTTTGATTAAATGAGAAATTAAAGACGATTCAGTTAGTGTTAAAAATTTGCCATTATCAGCAGGTTTCTATGGGACGCAGATTGCATTAAATCGAGTCGCACCAAAGCCAAGTGCACAAAATAAGTCAAGTATTCCAAAATGCAGTTAAAAACTCCAAAAACTTAATTTTCTTATTAAAAAATTTATTATTGTTTAATACATATTTCACAAGATTCTTTCTTCTCTATTGCCTTACATAGCGCCCAAATTTCGTAAAATCGAATCCCCTAATTTTGCACACAGCAGCTAAATATAGCTTGAAGACTACGTATAAACACAGCTTTTCATGTTGCCGTTGCCAATGTGTACTTTTTGGCATCTCAGATGAAATAACAAATCCACTCAGCTTTTATTTGGCTACCAGCAGGAAGAAGCAAAGAATCGTTATAAAGCAAAAAACACTTTCTTTTAAATAGAAAACGGATTCGATGAAAGAATAGCCTTGATGATATCAAGTATCTATAGTCAGGTAGGTTGAGATTCATCGTCCGTTCAGATCTCGAAAATTGAATGTTCTCATGCAAACATCTTGATGTTCGGGTCCGTGCAAGCTGGTGCAGAAAAAGCAAATTTCTACTATTAAGATTTGCCGAAAAACCAGAATACAAAATTTGCAACGATATGCTATCATATCTCCGCTTGTTGAAGACGTACCTAGTACATTTATTAACGACAACATGAAATTTTTGGTTGGAAGCGCAATTTAATTTTACATATATACATGCATGTATGATATCGGAGGCACAGAAAGACACCTCATTAATCTTCAGTTGGAGAAGATAGGGACATGAGATGAGAAGAGCTATAGTTTTCTGAAAATGTTATAGATACGCGTAACTGTGTAATTTACATGTCCCACCCCTCTGCAGCGAGAGTTAATTTTAGAACCAAGGTTTTTGACTGCATTAAAAAAATTAAAAATCATCATCGGGCATTTTAATGCGTGGTAAAGAATCGGAATGGTAACTTGTTTGGCTTTGGTTTTACTTGAATTTAATTTTAAACCGTTAAAATCAGACCACAAACCAATGCGCTCTAAATCGTCATTAATCCGCTGAACAATGGAAAATCCAAAATGTAAGCATGAAATTACGAACATAATGAGCCTGTGTCGATAATTCTAAAGTATGCTATGAGCTATGGAGCCCGCGGGGGTCAGGTTGCCCGTTTACAAAGCCGCTTAAGATCGTTCGAGGGACGCTTGCATACTCACATACCATGTGGAAACTTCGGTGGAAGTTGTTGTGTCCAATCACTTTTTGAATGCAGCAGGTGAAACAATATGCGCCTGGATGCGGCCCTTTCCGGAGTATTCGCGGCGGCTTATCCCCAAATGCCGGGGCAGTAAATAATTAGAGGTGCTTGATAGGGCTCGCCGTATCCAGAGGGGAAAGTTTAGACCATACCCGAACTTTCAATCTGGTACCCAGTGATTGGAGCAGACCCTCTTTCCGGCAGAATTGCCTTGCAACGCTGAGAGGTGCCCAATTCAATTGTCTTAATTGCCAACGGCTCTAGGGAACTCGTCTGGTTAAAGTTTCACGCCAGGTGCAGACGTTAAACAGCGATATAATAATAATTACAAGAATGTTGCAAAGCTCTATTGCAACTACGGTCGGACTTCAAATCCGATTGATTAGCACTAAGTAAGTTTTTAGTATTCAAATGCAATCCAATCTGATCCGTTATCAGGCGTTCAAAAACTCGAGCAATAATTTTGTAATTGTATGCTCAGTGACGAATATTTTTCGTATGGTTTTTTGGTAGTAGTCCGTGTGGTTTGGCGATATTGCATAGATAACAGATCTAGGGCTTTTCTTTGTTTTTTTATTACTACTTCATTACATCATTAGAAATATCGATAAAAACATCAAAAAGTAAACACCAGGGGTGCATGCTGTCGTTATGAACGCTTGTAACGGCAATTGTTCGTTTTCTTTTAACATTTATTATGCAGAAGAAAAATATTTATTAATGAAAAATATACCAAATTGTTATCTAAAATTATTTAGTTTTAAAAACATTTTGTTTAGTAAGAGCTAATATTTTTTACCATAACTTTTTCCGTATAATTATGACATTGTTAATTAATAATTACGACCCATAACACGATTTAAATCGTTCCAACTGCAAGAGTAATCGATTTGCAATAGTCCTTTATTGCTCATCCCGAATTTATTACCATAAATTCCATTGCAGAGCGTTGAAGACGATCGTCGACCCAATGTGCTATAAATGCTGCTACAACCTCCATTTAAGCCACAACCTAATGAGCTGTAGCAACTAATGTTTGTACTGGTTGGTATAGAACCATAAATCGAGTGAGCACCGTAGACTTGTTGGCTTTGTGACAGACATTCGTAGCAATCAGACACACTACAACAGGGTAATGTAGCATAAGGATTGCAATAGTCGTATGTGGGCGGTAAGGGTGGCGGTGCGGGGAATTCTAGTTGGGGAGCTGGTTTTAAAGTGCGACGTTTTATAGCACCATAACTGCTTAACGAATGACGTTGTATGGTATTCGAGCCATAATCCTCACCAATTGAACTGTGCCGTTCGGACGATGAAGTTGTAGAGGAAAGTGCTAAAAGGAAAAATAATCTTGAGATTCATTAGATTAGTTTTGAGGGACATATTTTTCTTTACCTCCGTAGCCTGTATAGACATTAGCTTCGTCGTCATCTAAATTAATGTTATTTTCAAATCTTTGATTCATTTGCATTATATAATCATCATAAGCATCATTCTTTTCTTTGATACGATTAAGACCGCTAGAGCGACGCAAGTGCATTGGATTGCAACATTCCAATCGGCATTGTTGATGAGCAGACGAAGAAGAAGAAGAACGTCTACGATTTCGTGGTAAAGTTGCTGCTGACGAGTAACGGGTTTTCTGATCGATCTCATTGTGATAATAATGTGAATTCATGGAATCTTCCATCGGGCTGGAGGGCAACGATTCATCATAGTATTTTTGCATGTTTGAAGGTTGCTCAATTTTCCTTGAAAGCGAGAGAAAAATGCATTTTTCATGTCATATAAGAGAAAGAAAAAGAAAATGAACTCACTTGCGTACGTAATCGTAATTTTCTAAATCCCAAGGATCAACATAACATCTTTGCGATGGCAGCAAGGTGGTGCTATAAACATCTTCAGTGTTATCGATAGTATAGTATGGTGATTCTTGTAAGTCTACGTCCTCATCGTAGAGTACATCATGAGGCAACGGTTGTTTTGGACCACGTCTTCGCGGTGTAGTACTATAACTTTGTTCACGCATTTGATACCTTATCCACGTATATGCCTGAAACAATCAAAAAAAAAAAAAAATTTAGTGAATTTTGCAGCTATGATCATTTGTAGAAATGAAATGAGATATTCATCTTCTATAGGTTATTCGTTCCGCCTATTAAATTCATGGCCACGAGCAATAACATTTGCACCAGTTATAGCTGGGTTATTAGGCTTCAAATTTTATTATAAAATGAATATGGGCACAATCACGGTTGATATTCAGCAATATCCGCATGACAAAAGAAATTGCTTTTTTGGACTCTTTTCTTCGGATCCTTGTTTAAATTTCCGTTAATATCTTCCCCGGGTTACATCTCTTTGATAAAAAAAGTATTCAGTAAAAATGGCCAATGAAGAGCAAGCCGCGATATTCATTCACTTTTAAGATGTTAGTGATGTTGTCAACTAAATTTTAATTAACAAGAGTGGAGTGTAATTTCCCAAGCATAGGTAAGTTCAACGCATTGTTATTAATAACCGCCTCTGGTCGGTTTTTCGTCACATGCATTAAATAACAAATTTCAATATTTCTATCTGAAATTTTTGATGAATAGCTTTAATAGATTCGGTTATAAACACCCATTGGACAACCGAATATATTTTAATAATGAATTCGCGCCTGTGTTCACTTGGGAGCACATTAAACTCATCTGCTCATCTGTGAACGCATATTCACCGCCTTGCATAGCAGATGCACATTTAAATCCAAAAAATCTACGCAGTCTATATATGATCGAAGTTTTTGAAGCGATAAGGAAAATAGTAAGTAATTAGTGTTAGATGGGAAATGTCAAAGGAGTTAAAGAAAGCTATATTATGTGTTATAAATCTTTCTAATTCCGTCTGTGGAGAAAACGATTGTTCGCCGCGTCACAAATGCAAAGTATAACCAGTGAAGTAAAAAGCAATTCGTGCTTCAACGTGACCATTCGCAATTCTCTACAAGTTTAGTTGTTGACATTAAAATTCATGTTGTATTATAAAGTTGTACTTGCTGTGGGTCTCGCAATTCTGTAAATTGTAATAAATTATAATAACTAAGACATTACAGATAGTTGCAAATAGATGCAATAAGATGCAAATAGAAAATTGTGTATAAAATAAAATTAAAGCGGTTAAACTACTCTTAATGACGAGTTCCAAGAACGGAGCGACGATTTATAAGTTTGTCTAAGATAAGTTCATACAGGCATTTAACATGGTGTAAGTAAATAGGTATAAGTAGGTAGACTAGTCGTCACAAAACCAATCGGCATTTAGATTTTATACACTGAGACACAGTTTCAAGTCATCATCTACCTATCGTCATAAAATTAAGAAAAAATGGATGAGATACGTTTTTAATGGAACAACAGTACAAAATATCACATTGCGGTAATATCGTGTTGATAAAAGCTGAATGTTAATTGTCGAAACATGTTGCATGTTGCAGACTGAAGACAAAAGTCAAGCGGTCTATCCTTCTAAAAGACATCCATTAGTGCACTAGAAGAGTTAGCAGCCAGCAAATAAAATGTTGCACCGAAACTTGTTCACACGGCTACCTTTGAAAGTATATTGTACCTATCGGCGGTTGGTGTTCTTGTCACATTCATATTGTAAAGCGTCTATCAAGAAGCTCCGCTTTGTAACCCAAAAGAAGAAGAAGAAAAAGAAGTAGAATTAAAGAAAATTGAATAATATAGCAAAGAAGATTAGGTCTATGCCATAGTGACGTTGTCCTTTGTTTCCTATAGGGGCCATTAAAGCAAGTGCTGGTGAATAAAAATGGCATAAAGGACTTTTCAAAATTGAGAAACAGTTAAAACTTGTTTAAAGATGGCAAAATATCGCCCAAAACAACATATTGTGTTGACAAATCGATTTGCTGTTGAATTCGCTTTGGGATTAGATAAGGAGGTTAATCACGTAACTGAAAGTTTGCTTTCTTTCTTTCAACGATAAAGTCAAGTTATTCACGTTCAAATTACATTCTTACATATATTTTTCTTTTTTTACTAACTTTCGTAAAGTCGTTACTCGGTGGTGTTCTTGTCACATTCATATGTAAAGCGTCTTCATATATAAAATTCGACGAAAACGATATAGAAAGTTAGCAACGTAACTTGGCTTCACTTTTGCCAAACATTCGCTTTCTTTAATTTCATTCAATCAATAAGTGAAAGCAATTCAAAGAAAATTTTGAGTTTATTAATAAAAAAAAATTAAAAATGGTTACTTTTCTAATATGAATATTAATATGAATATTAATCTGTTTTATTTAAATATTTTTTTTTTTTTTGATAAATCAAATTTTTCTCTATTCTGTTCTAAAATTCTTCCAATGTGTTCTTTTCATTTCTTCTTTTGCTTTTCTTTTGGTTTAATCCTTTTCATCCATAAAGCAAAAAATTGTCATACATTGCAGATTCTGGATAAGCTTCAGTTCTACATATAGAATAGACTTTGTCTGGGAGCTTTGAACAGCAAACGACAAAAACGGCCCTAATCGTCAAAGTTTGTTGTTCTAAAGATTGCTCTAGTTAACCGAAATTTATTTGCGTACCTTACCCATTCCCCGGGTTATTGGGCAGCATTGGAAATAAAAGCAAGAAAGTCTTTGCTCTTAAAAGTATTGAAAAGGATTTCCTATGGTAACGTTTCACCTCTTTTAACATCTAATCTAATAGTTTACCTGAGCAAAACGACGTTGCATCGTTACACGTTTCCATGTGGATGTTAATTTATTGTCTCGTGACAAACTAAGTCTCTCGCAATAGTATCTCAAAATAGTCAATTTCGAAATGGAATTGTCGATATACTTACTTATGTAACAATAAAATATTTTCTTAGGAAAGATGATTGGTGTCTTCGAATTTATTATTCTATTCTCTGCTATGAAATTCTGAAACTATTTATAAAATTTCTCTTGCAAGTGTATTTATTATTTAGCCGCAGGGAGTTAAAACTCTCAAAGAAATGAATTCCTACGATATGCTCGATAATTCCTTACCGCTATGTCAGCAGATTCTTGAAAAATTTTATTAAAAAAATAAATGTGCTTAAGGTAAGGCTTCTAGCGCCCCTTTTCTAGATGTTTCGTATGTTGCATGTGTTATGACTAAATTTACTTATTAGTAAAATATCAAATGGAAATAGTCTTTAGCAACAAACATAGTTGAGTAAGTAAAACATTTCTTCGCAAATGGTAACAAACGATTTTACAAGAATTATATGGGTTGTGTATAAATTAAAGTCTTATTTATATGTATTTTAGTCATAGCATTTAGTTTGAACATGGTCGTCATTAATTAGAGCATTTGAATAAATTACAAGAACCTCTGTCAACACCGTTGATACCGTTGCAGTTGTAAGTCACATGAAAAGCTTGTCTGCTAATAGTCACTTTATATGGAAACTGTACATTTTCGTTTCTAGATGTTTATGTGTTAAACAAGTCTTTTATGCATGGTATGGAGAACCGGTACAAATTTGCAATGATAAATAACAACTAATCAGATTATTTATATAAGTAGATATTATTTACTTGACTTTATCTTTTATCACTGCTTGGTTATAGATGGATGCGAAAGAGCAAAAGTGCCAGAAAGTAAGTTATTTTGCTTTATTTAATATATTTATACATGAAAAGGGGCTAAAACAAATGTAGAGATGAATTTATTTGATTCTTGGAAGTAAATCTTACGCTAATTATTACTAAAAACTAATCCACTGCGGGCTTCTGCTCTGATCAGTATGATCCATTTTCAATATCAATCTGCGTGCAGAAGCTGTCAATGTTTCTATCAAATCTCAAGTCGATATCTTCATTTTTGCGATCAGGAGAGTGACATGAACAAACACCACACAGAAGGACGGACCTAGCGTAATCAATTCAAAATTCCACACTGATCAAGAATGTATGTAAGGTCTTTATAGCGTCTCTGAAGCTTCCTTTTGGGTGCTACCTACAATATGAAAAAAGAAAATGAGTGTTCCTCCCATCTTTCAGAGGTGGATATAAAAAGAGCAACGAAAAAAAGCATTTACATCTCTAGCAAGGAGGTCCATGTGCAGCCTGTACGGATCCGAGTTGTGAGCGAACCCGTAAGCCCCTTTGCAAACATGGAAAAGCTTAGCAACCTAATAACGGTGAACGAATTCACTCAATTTTTCGAATCATACTAAGATGTCAAGATTAGAAGTGGATTCAGATACGACGTAGGGAAAGCGCGCCTCTTGAAGATCGGTGGTATGAAAGATGTCGACATTAAGTAATAGATATCACTTAGATTTTTATAAACGATTCTGAACGGATTGAAAAGCTCATAAGTATATCTACTACTATTGACTAAGGTCTATGAAGATAAAGCTGTTGGAGAAACGATTCGGCACATTAAAATTCATCTCACTACGTACTGTCGGCGAATCGGTTATACCATTTATTAAACTAATTAGGAAGAAGACAATGAGAATAAATCTTCGTTTTTCGAGTGATGATAAAGCTGACAGAAGCAATCTGTTTTCGTAAGAAGGCAAAAAGACAAGCAGGTGCCATCCCAAATTTCTATGAAGAAGGAGCAACAATCACTTTTGTACGGATTGTATTGAATCTGTCTAGTATCCATAGGAAGGAAATTACACAACGGAGGCAGACTCAAGTATTAGTTTGACTAAATTCAGGCATAGCCTTTTTGTAACATAAAGATCGTTAAGCATTTTGGATCGTCATTTAGTGCGAACTAGCGCCGACCTAGTTTTACTTAAGAGGAGTGTACACAGTATCTTTGGTCGAATAGATCCCCTAAATCCATAAGTGAATTTACGTCTCCCAATTTTTATGAGTCGATGAAATAGCCAGTAGTGAATAAACTTCTCCTTGAGAAAGAAAACATTTTTTTAGTTTTAACTTTGAAGCTGATACAAGTGCGATTACGAGGAAAAAGAAGAAGCAGTTTAACGTCGTCAGCGTATGGCTGCATTTAATCACCGAAGACAGATCATTGGTGTATAGCATGCGTAAAATGGGCCCTTAGTGGTCGCCTGTGGTCATGAGAAAATCATAAGAGAGATGGAGTGAGACAGAACCCTGGAATGAACGGTTATCAAGAAGTTGATGATGAAGTTCGCACCTAATTACCTAGATTATGGCTAGGTTATGTTAAGATAGTGATAGATATTTCTGCGGCAAGGGGTTAGCAGATCTGTCCACCAATTCAATCAGGATTAATAAGCATTTTTAGCGCTATCACCCGTTTGCCTCAGAGTTAAATTCGGGAATATCATTGTAAGAGGAAGTACTAGAAAGGGTGTCGGCTAACAACTTAAAGGTCGCGGATTCAAATCTCAACAGCGGTAAAATTTTTGAACATAAGCCAATAGTCTCAGATGCAGAAGCTTTAGTCTTGGAATTTATTTCTATGGCAAAATTAATTTTAATAACATAATAATAATAATAATAATAGAAAAATATTTGAATGATTCATTATAGAGCAGTCAATAAATAATTGCAGGGATCAACCAGTAAGAATACATGTAGTGTAGGTCAATCCTTGAACATACTGACCTATGTATTAGATAATCATTGACAATAAATGGTAGCCATAATTACTTATAACCAGGTAAGAGGAACTTGAGACCACTCAAAGCATATTTTTTTATTTTTTTTTTGTCTTTAAAGGATTTTATTTTCATTTTTTCTTATATTTATATAAAGAAATAATTATGTTTAACCACATTAATCGCATAGCTTTCCTGATAAATTATTACAAATATAGTCAAACGTAGACAAACGCTTGCGGAAGACTTTCGTTAAATGCTCACACATCTAACCGATGAAAGCATGTGCATTTAACGAGATTTTACGCAAAAGTGTTTAACGGACAGTAATTGGGGGGGAGATTGCATTCGACATAATTTGGTGGTATATAACCTGTTTCTTGAACCAACTCACATCTGTAATTTAAAATAAAATTATAACTATTAACGTGTAATGTACACGTAAAACAGTTTTGTATCTCAGTTCAGGAATCTATTAAAAATGACTTGAAGGAAATCACTTTTATTGCTATTTAATTGCAAAAGCGTTTCTTCAAAAATTTCATCACAAGCCTATCAGAGATAACTGTGTAAACTTGAACTTGACGTGGCGGAAGGCAGTTTTTCGATGGTTGGATTTTCCTGCCATTTATTGCGCAATTGTAGCTAATTGTATGAACAAAATCACTTTTGCTACGTTTATTGGTCTGAGTGTAATTGAAGGCAGAAAAAAATCAAAACACTCGTCTTACTAGCATGTTATTATTATTTTTGTTGTTGTTTTGTTGTAGAAAATAAAAATATACTGATTTTGTCATTTCTCTATATATGCATATATCGGCCAATATAAGATAACGAATGCTTATGTCCGTCCGTTGCTTTATTTAATGTTTGAACCTTTGAGTCCATAAAAGCTGATGGGTAGATGAGAGGGCGGTGGGGTTTGGAAATGCAAATACATATTCTTAATGTAGGACTTTAAAGCATGTTTAATGATCATTGGGATCAGATCAGAACAAATGCTAAAACTGAGAAATAGGTATATATATAATACACGCTGATAAATTAAAATTTTCGGTAAAGTCCTTTCTAAAATCCATAACATATGTTTACCTGGATCGTCTGCAAATTCAAAGTAATGTAATGTAATAGAAAGTGGTGAGCAATCTATTCCGCGAGCTAGAAAGATCTATGGTACGCGCTCGTGTCTTTAGCCCTTCAATCTCCTCAGGTTCGGAGCGTCATAAGGTGTTCCCCAAACACCTGACCTGGTATCTGATCCTGTAGATGGCCGCGCATTCGCATAGGACACGATGATACATTTCCATCGTCGGATCTCTCCTCCCGCAGAATCTGTATGAATCCGTATCGGGGATACTAATATTTTGTAAATGGTAGAAGCCAACTGCGCGACCCATGTCGCTTCTTCGTACTTCCCTTAGCTTGTGTGCTCTGCCGGAGGATTAAATAAATCTTTTAGCTTGCTTTTGTTCTACCCTTTGCTTCCAATGGCTTGCTGGTTTTCTCTTGCCGGTTTTTTCTATGTCTCTTGATGTGGCTGTCAGTCCGGACTTACCATAGATAGACCGCCGGGCTCCCCTTTTTTCGGTAGAGTGAGCCCTTTGTCTCCGCCTGCGTCTCTAGCTCATTGAGAATTGAAAGCACATACAAATTTAGAGGATATTGTATGGCTCCTTTAGGCTGTTTAGGGCCGGAGAAATTCAAAGTAAAAAAAAATTTTGCAAAAAATTTTCTAGTTAGCAGGTTAAGTAACCTAATATTATATTATATTTGATTTTCGAAAGATGGAAATTTCATTTTATTGATTCGAAACTTATTCAAATATGCTAAGACTTTGGACTGCCTATTTGAACTCTTAGGGAAACGTTTTAAAGGGCAAACGGTCTAAAGCGTCATACCTACTTCGTTCGCTGTACATAAGCTATTCCTGCAATGTATTACGAACAAACACGTTGCATACACATATGTATAACGTAACATAACTGAGGAGAGCTGTATTTACTGTTAATGTATATAATTCTGTTACTAGTTTTTTTTCTTCTTCCTTCTACTATAATAATATCCTATAGCGCGTGCATAACTTGCATAGTTAACATAAAGCACTTAATAATAGCTTTTGCTAGATTTATTTTTAACTCTGTTAACAGAAGAGAACGGAAACGGATATATTCGTTTAATTGAAATGTAATCATTTCGATGACGTTTCTTTCTTTAGATTTCATTCAAATTAAAAAATTTCAAGTTCAAAACCTTGTTAATTACATATAATTTGTAGCACATATCTTTAGATATGTACGTTAGGATTTTTTTTGCTTTTGTTTTGTTTGTTAGCAAACTATGCGTTCAGACTTAGATTTGTCTGTAGTGATTTTCTTCTTGAGCAGTGATGCGTGCCGAATGTTATTAAGTTGGTGTAAAAAATTGATATCGCATAAATATCTTTTTTTTTTTTGTATATTTTTAAGCAATTTGTCAGATTTGCTGATTTAGTAGCTAATTAAAGGCATGTAATGTGATATTAAAAGAAATTTAAGGTAAAGGTGATCTTATTGAACAGTACGATTAACACTAAAACTATCGCGTATGTCATTTTGATGTTTTCGATCTTCGAAAAAAACTGTTATACCGCGTGTCGTATTCCAAAATTGTTTGATGGCCTTTACTTACAAGAGAGGACTTGCTAACGTCTACAATCAATTTTTTTGCACCCGGCCTAGTTTTCGAGACCCCGATGCCATATACCTTATTCTATCAAAAGCGATCATTTTGATGCCTTCTTTTTCGTGAAGTCGCCGCAGTTGCAAAAGTGGACTCAAGAAGCTGAAAGCTGTCACAAACGTTCCGTGATTGATTAAAAACAAACAGTTGAAAAATGGTTGTAGTCTCTCTACAATGCACAGCTACAATGCATTATAAACGGCGATAATCTCGAAGAAACATAGACAATTTTTAATTATTTTCGTATATAACTTTTGACGCCGTTAAGATATTTACGAAAACCTGTGACGCAGATATCACTTCCCGAATCGTTGCCCGTCCGTCTGCTCGTCTTGTTTTCTTGTGCTCAAGCTAAAGGTCGTAAATTTTTGGGATTTTATGATGAAATTTGGTAAGTTACCGTGTTTCGACCCAAGGACGGACGCTACTGAAAATGGTGGAAATGGTCTAATTTTTCCATTCCGCATATAACGCCTTATTATGAAAAGTGATTATACGGAAAAAAATTGCAGTGTTCAAAGTTTTTCGACTAGTACTTCACTTTCTAAATTGCTACGAAAACTTTGGCCCGGTTGGCGCAATCTTTTGAACCCCTTCCCGTTAAACCGTTCCTAAAACGAAAACTGACCTTTATTGGGGAGAAGAGTCTATTTTTCAATATTTCATGGTGAAAATTGATTCGTAATAGTTAAACGACAAAGAAATCAATCTTAGCGAATATAGAGCACGTAAGTCTATTTTTTGAATGTCACCTCATTTATAAGTTCTCAGAAAATTTAAACCCTTATGCTGAAAATTTCTTCATGAGAGTAATTTGTCATAAACATTAAGTGGACTAAATTTGAACCACATGGGTCAATCTCTTGGACTCCGTTTCATAGAAGAGTTCTCATACGCAGTAAACCCTTCAGAAAAAGATTTAATTTCTAATATTTTCTGATGAAAATTAGTTCCTAGTAGCAACTGCGCGAAAGAATTAACGGTACGATATTTGGATCACATACCTCTATTTTTTAAATATATCCAAGACTTTCTGATGAAAAGCAAGCGCTTATATGGAGAGTACGTATAATTATGGATCACGTCGTATGATGTTTTGGGTAAACTTCAATGAAAATAATGTGTAATTTTCGACTTATTACTAGCAAAACGACCGAGTACTTGCACTAGGCGAATCGATGTAGGGTATTCAATGGTAGTCTTGCCCAACCATTATGTACTTACTTGTTTTTAGTGAGTGAATTTGTTTATAGTATGAGAAATTAATGGCAAAAAAAATCGACAATCAATCAAGAAATCTCCATTGATCTTAGTCCAATTTAGCAATCAAATGTTGTAAATACCTGCGTAAGTTAAAAAATGTTTCCTCCAGCAGGCGTAAGTTGCTTTTGGTGTATTTTTGTCATGCATTGCGGAGGAAGAAAAAGGTTTAATTCCATATAACGCGTCCTATCGGAATCTGCAACTTTGCAATGAATATACTCAGTACTTTTTTATAGTCTTAAGATCTATGTGCAAGACTTGAAATGTTGTGGAAGTCGCACCTACTTAGGTTATTCTTGAATTTAAGATATAGTGACTGTAGGTCGCTTCTAGATTCAACTGCAAGCTCATGTAGTCGACGATTTTAATAATCTGTGGCAGTAGTCGATGAATGTCATAAAATAGAGATAAAAAAAAAGTTAAAATTTGACATATATGGGTGGTGTTCCAAACGGTCATCCTTCTTTTTTTGCCGCAAAGGACCATCCATTTTTGTTGTTGTTTGCTTATTTACTTAAAATTTATATTAAAATAATCTTTTTTTGCTTTCAATTTTCTTCTATAGTTACAGTATATATAAGTTATATTATTCAGTGAATTGTTCACTTTGATTAAAATTTTGAAATTTCTAATCTCTCTCCATGTCGTTGAAGGCCAAGCAACAAAAAAAAGAATACCATGAATAAATGCATTTAGTTGAATGTTTTCGTGGCAAAATTAAACAGTGCGGAACCGTTGCCAAGAGAATGCGAAAATATAATTTTAACCCAGTAAATAAGAAAATCATATTCGCTTTAGGGTGCATCATAGATAGCCAGCCACTGTAATATAATAATTTTCTCAGTAGTAAATACACTTTTCTGGGACGTGATGTGAAAATATTGCATTCGAGTAAAAGTATAAGTAATACGTCAAAGGTATGCCTTGGTTGTATTGACAAAGGTTTTACATTTTTTAATTAGTCTAAAAAGTAGTGCGCCTAGCAATTATAATAAACTTTCCTCTTAAATATATGTATACAATAGAACACCCTATAACACGTATTCATATAAGACGGAGTTTCGTATAATACGATAAAAGGATGAGACAAAAAAAAAAATATTCATTAAAAGATTTTTATGGATTTCTCGCTCTTCTGCAAGTAAAAATATATGCCATAAAAATTGTTGTCATGTTGTGTGTTAAGCGTAATTATTTAAAAAAGTTGTTTGACATGTAACAACTAAGTTAATCGCTTTGGGTTATTTGTACAATCTAAGCGACTCATACAACACGGACTTATGTAACATTCATGTTATGGGGAAGAGATAAATACGGCATTCGAAGAAATTTTCCAGCTTCGGCCTGATAGCGCCAATGGTTCATGGCGGGAGTTTTGTGGTGAGATGTTGTTGCCTTGCAATCTGGTGCCTTATCCAAAGGAAGGCAGGTAGGCTCCGCTCTTACTAGAAGCGACTACTCATCCTTGGGACGCTGCATGTGCTTTTTCAAACTTCGTGGGTCATCGGATTAAGCTTTTACGGCATTGTATACACGTAAAACATATAGAGATGTATATAGATATATAGGTAAATCTAGGTGACATTTCCTAGTTTAGCTGCACTAGAGTCCCAAATTTGTGTGTTTTCCGTACCCATACGGTGCTAACATACCGAATTTCAAAAAATTGTTAAAAATAGTTCCTATGAGCAGAATTTAAATTCGTGTCCTTGGTATTTACATATAGATTCATGAGAGGTCTACAAACATGAGTTACGTTTTTTAATATGAACGGAATAAGCTTCCAAATCCATCTATATCTTATTTTTGAATATTTAACAAAGCATTGTTAGGACCTTGCCAGAGCTCTGTTAAGGGATAAGGTAGGTGTCTTTGCTAGATAAATTCGAATTTATCTTCACACCCTTATTGCAAGTGATGCTGAAGATGTTCTATTAGGAGATCGGTGAAAAAGTAGACTCGAGTAAATATCGCCATGTACATATTTCCAATTGTTTTTGTTGTTTATTATTCAAGCTCTGCAAACCGAATAACAAAAGTAATAAATCTGTAGTATCCTGTGTGTAGATGAGGAGTAGAACCAGCTGCGAGACATGAAAGACTCCTACAATTGGATGCAAAAAAGGTTCATCAAAAATAATTATAATGTTTTCTTCTTCTTCTTTCTATGTGTCTGCTCGGTTGGGTGCCTGTTAATGATTTTTCAAGATCGTTGGCATACACGCTACAGAGCGAAATGAAGGCTTTTCATATCAAAAAGATTGTATGAGAAAAAAGTGAAACTTTTTTATGTTTCTCTGTTCATTAGAGCAAATTTTACAAACATGATAATAGCACGCTGTTGTTATTGTTGTTGTTTTTGTTTAATGGCCGTATTAACGTAAAAAGTAGAGAAAAAAAGAAGAAAAGCAAACTTGCACAATATTTATTACAACTTAACACGTGAATCACAATATATCGT